CACTCTGTCGTCCAGGTTGGAGTGCAGTAGCACCCTCATGGCCACTGCAGCCTCAACCTGCTGGGCTCAGGTGATCCTTCAGCCTCAGCTTTCCAAGTAGCTGGAATCACAGGTGCATGCCACCACGCCCAGCTAATTTTGTTGATTTATTGTAGACACGGGGTTTTGCCAAGCCAACTTGCCTAGGCTAGTCTCTCATTCCTGGGGCCAGGCAGTCCTCCCATCTCTGCCTCCCAAAGTGCTGGGATTACAGGCGTGAGCCACTGGGCATGGCTAATTCTGTCTTTTCTTTATCCCATAAACATTATTATATATATATAGTCAATATTTTTTCTTTAATTTTTTAATTTGCTTGTGCTGGGATCTCACTCTGTCACCCATGGTGGGGTACAGTAGCATGATCATGGCTCACTACATCCTTGACCTTCTGGGTTCAAGTGATCCTTCTGCCTCAGCCTCCCAAGTAGCCAGCACTATAGGTTGTGCCACCATGCCTGGTTAATTTTTTTATTATTGTAGAGATGAGGTCTTGCTATGCTACCCAGGCTGGTCTCGAATTCCTAGGCTTATGCAATCCTCCCACTCTGGCTTCCCAAAGTGCTGGGATTATAGGCGTAAGCCACCTTGACCTGTCTGATATCCTTATGTTTACCCAAGCATTAACCTCTTTCTTTCACTTCTTTGTTTAGTGCATCTCAGACCTTCCAACTGGGATGAACTTCCTTTTGCATGAAGTACATTCTTTAGATTTTCTTTTTTTTGAGTTGAAGTCTCACTCTGTCGCCCAGACTGGAGTGCAGCGGCCGCTCCTGGCCACCGCAGCCTTGCCCTGCTGGGCTCCGGCGATCCTTCCGCTCAGCCTTCCAAGTAGCTGGAACTACAGGCACACACTACCACACCCAACTGATTTTTGATTTATTGTGGAGATGAGGTCTTGCCAAGTTGCCTAGGCGGGTCTTGAACCCTCGGGCTCAGGCAATCCACTCACCTCGGCCTCCCAAAGCACGGGATTATAGACTGAGCCACCGAGCCTGGCCTAGAATTTTCTTTAGTGGGCTAGTTATGGTGGCTCACACCTGTAATCCAAGTGCTTTGGGAGACCAAGGCAGGTGAATTGCTTGAGGCCAGGAATTCAAGGCCAGCCTGCAGGAGGTGAGGGCTGCTGAGAGCTGTGATCATCGGGATCTTGCCACTGCACTCCAGTCTGGGTGACAGAGTGAGACCTTGACTCAAACAACAACAAAATAATTTCCTGTGGTGAATTTTGCTGATGGCAAACTCAATTTTTTTGTCCAAAAAACACCTCTATTTCTCCTTCACTCTTTTAAATATTTAAAACTATAAAAACATATACTAATGTGGATTATTATTCTTATTACTTTTTGAGTTGGAGTCTCACTCAGTCGCCCAGGCTGGAGGGCGGTGGCACGCTCATGGCCACCGTGGTCTCGACCTGCTGGGCTCAGGAGATCCTTCCACCTAAGCCTTCCAAGTAGCTGGGACTACAGGTGCATGCCACCATGGCCAGCTAATTTTTTGATTTATTACAGAGATGGGATCTCGCCAAGTTGCCCAGGTTGGTCTTGAACCCGTGGGCTCAGGAAATCCTCTCATCTCAGCCTCCCAAAGTGCTGAGATTATAGGCGTGAGCCACCACACCTGGCCTGTTTTTTTTTTTCATTTAAAACATATTTATGAAGGCCAGACACAGTAGATAAAACCTATAATTCCAGCACTTTGGGAGGCTGAGACGGGAGGATTGCTTGAGCCAGTTTGAGATCAGCCTGGAATACACAGTGACACTCCATATCCACAAAAAATAAACACATTAGTCAGGCATGGTAGTGTGCACTGGCAGTCCCAGCTACTTGGGAGGCCGAAGCAGGAGGATGATTTGAGAGTTCCAGACTGCAGTGGGCTATGATCATTGCCGCTGCACTCTAGCCTAGGGAATGGAGTGAGACCGTTTCTATACAAAGGAAAAAATAAACATATATTTTTATTTTATTTTATTTTTTGAGTTGGAGTCTCACTCTGTCGCCCAGACTGGAGTGCAGTGGCCGCTCCTGGCCACCGCAGCCTCAACCTGCTGGGGATCCGGTGATCCTTCCGCCTCAGCCTTCCAAGTAGCCGGAATTACAGGCGCACGCTACCACGTCCACTGATTTTTTTTTGTTTTTACTGTAGAGATGAGGTCTCGCCAAGTTGCCCAGGCAGGTCTCGAACCCGCGGCCTCAGGCAATCCACTCACCTCAGCCTCCCAAAGGTGCGGGATTACAGGCTGAGCCACCGAGCCCGGCATTAAACCTATTTATTAAGTGCCTACTGTATGACTGGCACTGTTTTAGGTTCAGTTAATAAAAGTGAAGAAAATTCTTACTTTTATGGAACTCATATTTTAACAGAATGGGTAAGACAGATGATAATGACCAAAGGGCTGGGCATGATGGCTCAAGCCTATAATCCCAGCAGGCCGAGGTGAGAGGTTGCCTGAGCCCACTTTTCTGCCAGAGCCCCAGAATCAGCCATTTCTACAAGAACCTTGTTCCTTTTGGTGAAGAATGGTATTGAGAGGCTGAGATCTTGGTGCCAGCTGTGTTCACTACTGTTGGGGTTTCTTTGTGTCTCCCTGTTGGAATCCCTTCAGCCTCCGGTGGCCGAGAGGCCCCTGAAGCTCCAGGTTCTCAGAAGCCCCAGTGACCTTTGTCTCAGGAGTGAAATCCTCTCTCCTTGGGTTTTCCCCTCAGCCCCCTTAAGGAAAGGGCTCAGTTGGTCTCGGTGGCTCAGCCTGTCATCCCAGCACTTTGGGAGGCTGAGGTGAGTGGATTGCCTGAGCCCACGGGTTCGAGACCCGCCTGGGCAACTTGGGGAGACCTCATCTCTACAATAAATCAAAAATTAGCCGGGCGTGGTAGCACGCGCCTGCAGCTCCAGCTACTTGGAAGGCTGAGGCGGAAGGATCGCCGGAACCCAGCAGGTCGAGGCTGGGGTGGCTGGGAGTGGCCACTGCACTCCAGCCTGGGTGAAGGAGTGAGACTCCAACTCAAAATAACAAACTAACTAACTAAATAAATAAATAAAAATAAATAAAGGGCTCTATTGACCCTGCTCAGCCAAGTTTCCATCCCTGGACTGGTCACTGTGGCTAGGGGCATGGGACACTCTTATTAGCTAAGTTTGGATTCCAGGCCCAGATCTATTTAAGAGGAGGTGATGGGTGGTCTTGCAGAGCTCAGCTTCACCTAACTACTTGGAATGGGTCATCCACAGGAAAGATGGGACATTTTCACCAGAAGAAAGATGAGGATATTTGGTGCTGACAGAACAGCAGGTCCCCACTCTAACAAACAAATGTTTCAATTGTAATAATTTGCCGGGTGCGGTGGTTCACGCCTGTGATCCCAGTACTTTGGGAGGTGGAGGCGAGAGGATTGATTGCCTGAGCTCTGGGGTTCCAGACCAGTCTGGGCAACTTGTCGAGACCTCATCTCTACAATAAATACAGAAATTAACTGGGTGTACAGCTGTAGCTCCAACTACTTGGAAGGCTGAGGCCGAAGGATCGCCTGAGCCCAGCAGGTCGAGGTTGCGGTGACCGTGAGCGTGCCACTGCACTCCAGCCTAGGTGGCAGAGTGACTCAAAATGGGTGACTCAGAGTGACTCTCATGCAAAATAAATAAATAAATTGTTATAACTGACCAGGCGTGGTGGTTCATGCCTGTAATCCCAGCACTTTGGGAGGCCGAGGTGGGAGGATTGCTTGAGCCCAGGAGTTTGAGGCTTTGGTGAACCATGATATGCCACTGGGTGTCTGGGTGACAGAGTGAGACTCAAAAAAGCCCCGAATAACTGTGATAACTGCCGAAAGAAGAGAATAGGATGGTGCACAGGAGGACCATGGAGGGGTCTCGGGTTAGCCTGAAGTCAGGGGAGGCCTCTCTGAGGAGGGGCAGACAAGCAGAGATCCGAAGGGGGGGAGCCCTAGCGGCGTGAGAAGGTACTAAGGGGAGCGGTGCCGGTAGGGGAAACACCGTGCAAAGGCCCTGGGGGAGAAGCTTGTCCAGGACTGAAGGCAGGTGTACCCAGAGCATAGGGAGCCAGGAGAATGGTGGGAGACAAGACTGGGGAGGCAGACAGGGGAGGGCTGACCAGGCGGGGCCCTGAAGGCCCAGCAGGATGCTTTATGCTCAACGAAAGGCAGTGTCACTGGAGGGTTTAGGGAAGGAAGGGAACATAAGCTGATGTTCACTTTTTTCTTTTTTGAGTTGGAGTCTCACTCTTGTTGCCCAGGCTGGAGTGCAGTGGCATGCTCACGACCACCGCAGCCTTGACCTGCTGGGCTCAGGCAATCTTTCCACCTCATCCTTCCAAGTAGTTGGAACTACACGGTACCACGCCCTGCTAGTTTTTGTAATTTATTGTAGAGACGAGGTCTCACCAAGTTGCCCAAGCTGGTCTCAAACCCCCGGGCTCAGGCAACCTTCTCGCCTCGGCCTCCCAAAGTGCTGGGATTACAGGCTGAGCCACCATGCCCAGCCTGATGTTCACTTTTAAAAGCTCAGTGTGAAACTGAGCATGGTGGCTCACGCCTGTAATTCCAGCACTTTGGAAGTATTGCTTGAGGCTAGAAGTTCAAGACCAGCCTGGGCAACATAGCAAGACTCTGTTTCTACTAAAACACACACACACACACACACACAAACTTAGCCCAGCATGATAGTGTACACCTGTAGTCCTAGCTACTTGGAAGGCTGAGGCTTGAGGATCAGTTGAACCCAAGAGTTCAAGGTTACAATGAACTATATGATTCCACCACTGCACGCCAGCCTGGGCAACAGAGCCAGAAGACCCTGTCTATCTAGAAACAACTAAGTGTGGCTGTTGGAGAGGGTGTAAGGATTGGAGGGGTTCACTGGGGGAGAGGAGATGGGACTAGGGCGCCCCAGGTACCCCATCTCTTCATGCACCTTCTTCTCTCCTTGTTGAAACTGACGTGCAGGAGCCTTGGATGACGTGAACTCGTGCCTGGTGAGGGTGCCAGAGAAGACAGAGGACGGCAGCCAAACTGCCCTGGTATGCTTCCCCCTATGCCCAGCTGACTTTCCTGGGACACCGCCCGGCCCCCAGCCCCCACCTCCAAGCCCCAGCTCCCTCGTTCCTCTGCCCAGCTCTCCTCCTCTCCACAGTGCTCACCGCCATCGGATGCACCATATGCTTCATCACTCCTTTCATTTCTTTCTCGTCTCCCTCACGGGAACATGACCGCCATGCATGGGGGACGTTTGTCTGCCTGCGTCCATTGCAGCGGGACCTTCAGTATCTAGAATAGTGCCTGGCACGTAGCCGGCGCTCAGTAAAAGTTGGGAAGCCGGGCTCGGTGGCTCAGCCTGTAATCCCGCACCTTTGGGAGGCTGAGGTGAGTGGATTGCCTGAGCCCGCGGGTTCGAGACCCGCCTGGGCAGCGAGACCTCATCTGTACAATAAATCAAAAAATCAGCTGGGCATGGTAGCGTATGCCTGTAATTCCGGCTCCTTGGAAGGCTGAGGCGGAAGGATCGCCGGAGCCCAGCAGGTCGAGGCCGGGAGCGGCCACTGCGCTCCAGTCTGGGTGACAGAGTGAGACTCCAACTCAAAAAAAAAAAAAGTTGTGAAGACAACTGCAGGGGAGGCTCTGAAAGGGGCAGAAAGGCTAGACATGGCCTTTGCCAGGACACAGTGGGCCCAACCCAGGCCTGGGCTGTGTAGCAGGTACAGGAGCCCAGAGAAGGCCAGTCCAGCCGGTGAGGCACACCAGCACCTGCAGGACTTGGGTGAGGGCCGTGGGGCCGATTGGACAAATTGGGGGATGGGAGTGTGGTACATGGAGTGTGGACAAGATTGACTGGTGGATAGAGTCTGGAGGAGCTGGGGGATCCGCCCAGAAAGGACACGTGGGAAGGAGGCTCTGCCCCCAGGCTGCTTCAGAGGCAAGCTCTAGTCCCCTGGGCCGTGCAGGGTGGGGTGGGGAGACAATGACAGATAGGACTAAGAGATCCTGCATTCAGGGAGCATCTGTCCTCATCCCATGGCATTCTTCTAGTTGTCCACTGTACTCATGCCATGCTGGCCTTTTTCTGTTTCTCACACCTGCCAAACTCATTCCTGCCTCAGGGCCTTTGCACAGGTTACTTCCTCTGCCAGGAAAGTTCTTTTCATCTATAAGAGAGGCACAACGAAGTTAAACTGAGGCCTATGTTGGATAATATATGTATGGCACTGAGCATGGTACCTGCACAAAGAAGGCTTATTATTTCTGTGGTAGGGGCCGAGCGAAACTTTCCCCTTCACCCTCTGGAGTTTCGCTGAAATATCAGCTCACAAAAGGCAAATTAATTGGAGACAAGGCATGGCATACTAATTAATTTTTTTTTTTTTTTGAGTTTGAGTCTCACTCTGTCGCCCAGACTGGAGTGCAGTGGCCACTCCCGGCCACCGCAGCCTCGCCTGCTGGGCACCGGCGATTCTTCAGCCTCAGCCTTCCGAGTAGCCGGAATTACAGGCATGTGCTACCACGCCTGGCTGATTTTTTAATTTTATTGTAGAGATGAGGTCTCACTGCCCAGGCGGGTCTCGAACCCGCGGGCTCAGGCAATCCACTCACCTCAGCCTCCCAAAGGCGTGGGATTACAGGCTGAGCCACTGAGCCTGGCTATACTAATTAATTAATTTCTGAGTTGGAGCCTCGCTCTGTCACCCAGACTGGAGGGCAGTGGCATGCTTCTGGCCAGTGTAACCTTGATCTGCCAGGCTCAGGTGATCCTTCCGCCTCAGCTTTCCAAGTAGCTAGAACTACAGGTGTACACCACATGCCTGGCTGATTTTTTTTTTTTTATTATTTGCTGTAGAGATGAGGTCTCGCCAAGTTACCCAGGCTGATCTCAAACCCGCGGGCTCAGGCAACCCTCTCACCTCAGCCTCCCAAAGTGCTGGGATTATAGGCCTGAGCCACTGCGCCTGGACTTACACATTTGTTAATGTGTACAGAGAACAACTGGGGGATTACCCATTCCCTCCGACCCCCCCACCGCAGGTTCAGAAGTTTATGCATCATATTGAAGTTACATGGGTAATGAGGGCTTGGATCCTGGCAAAGCATTTTATGGGAGGGGGAGAAGAGAGATTCTGTTGAGAAGCAATAAAGGATTGCTAGGGGGTGGGGCGCAGTGGCGCATGCCTGCAATCCCAGCGCTTTGGGAGGCCAAGGCAGGAGGAATGCTTGAGGCCAGGAGTTGGACACCAGCCCAGACAACACTGCAAGACCCCATCTCTACAAAAAATTAAAAATTTAGTCAGGCATGGTGGCGTATATTTGTAGTCCTGGATACTTGAGAGGCTGAGGCAGGAGGATCCCTTGAGCCCAGGAACTGGAGGCTTCAATGAGCCATGATTGTGCCACTGCACTCCAGTCTGGGCCACAGAGCAAGATTGAAAGGAGAAAGGTGGCCAGGCATGGTGGCTCAGCCTGTAATCCCAGCACTTTGGGAGGCCTGAGCCCAGGAGTTCGAGACCAGCCTGGGCAACTTAGTGAGACCTTGTCTCTACAATAAATTAAAAAATTAGCCGGGTGTGGTGGCACATGCCTATAGTTTCAGCTACTTGGAAGGCTGAGGTAGGAGGATTGCCTAAGCCCAGCAGGTAGAGGCTGCTGCAGTGACTGTGAACGTCCCACTGCACTCCAGCCTGGGCGACAAGAGTAAGACTCCAACTCAAAAGAGAGAGAGAGAGAGAGAGAGAGAGAGAGAGAGAGAGAGAGAAGAAAGGTTTTCTGATTGACCAAAAAAAGAAATTAAATGAAAAAATAAAATAAAAAAGGGATTACTCAGGAGAATGAATGTATCAGGGAACAGAGACTATCTTGTACATTACCTTGTGAAAGGATCTATTCAGGTATGGTTACATTCTTGGTCTTCCAGGGAGGGGAAGAAAAACCAATTGTTTTCCTTGGGGCGTCTGGATACTAGACAGATCAAGGAACTTCACCTTGATCCTGTGCTTTGGGAGAGATGGTCACATGGAGGGAGGTCAGAGAGATCTTGAGGCTTCTTCAGGTCAGCATGTCAAAGTATTATATTTTGGGGTATTGGTTTCTGAGTCCCAACATTGTCATCCAACACATGTTACTGATCCCCTACTATGTGCTGGGTCCTGTTTTAGACTCTAGGGAAACAGCAGTGACCTGGCATTCTAGTCTGAGGAGATAGACCTTCCCCTGAGTTTCTTCACGTGGCTAGTTCTTTTTTGTCATGCAGAATGCAGCCCAAATGTAAACTCTTCTGAGATGACTTCTCTGACCATTTGGTCTAAATTAACCATCCCTCCACCATCACTCTTGCAGTTTGTCACCAATTGCTATTTAACAAACCACCCAAAACTCAGTGGTTTAAAAGTTCACTCTGAGGCTGGGTGCAGTGGCTCATGCCTGTAACTCCAGCATTTTGGGAGGCAGAGGAGAGAGGATTGCCTGAACCCAGGGGTTCAAGATCAGCCTGGGCAAAATGGCAAGACTTTGTCTCTACAATAAATGAAAAATTAACTGGATGTGGTGGTGCACACCTATAGTTCTAGTCACTTGGAAAGCTGAAGCGAAGGGATTGCTTGAGCCCAGCAGGTCAAGGCTGCAGTAGTAGTGAGTGTGCCAATGCACTCCAGCCTGGGTGACAGAGTGATACTCTAACGAAAAAAAAAAAAATTTCACTCTGGCTGCTGTGGGAGTGAGGAGAGGATGGGCCAATTTCTGATGATTTTGAAGTTTGACGAGGCTCAGCTGGGTGGTTCTTCTGCTCCATACAGTGTAAACTGAGATCACCCAGGGGCCTGGAACATTCAAGATGACCCCTTAGCTTCCAGGGCCTTGCTCCATGGTCTTTCATCACTCCATAGTCTAGCCTGGGCTTCCGTGCAGATGGACAACGTGGAAACTGCCAGTTTCCTTAAGGAGCTGGCCCAGCCTCACTTCTCACTTACAGCAAGTTGTAAGAGGAGCCAGGAGTCAAAGGAGAATCTATCCTTTTGTTAGGAGGAATGGGAAAGAACTTGTGGCCCTGTTCCACATGCTCCATCAGATTAACTTGTTTATCTTTCTTTATTAAACAAAGTTAGTTTACTTATTTTGTAGTTTTTCTTCTGCCTTAAGATAATGGGAACGAAGAGATTAATTGACTATTGGTTAATATGTTCCTTCTCTCAGGTAGCAGAAGGCCTCCATCTGACTTGTATGTACCAGAAGACCCTTTTGTTTGTTTTTTTTTGAGTTGGAGTCTCATTCTGTCACCCAGCCTGGAGTGCAGTGGCATGCTCACAGTCACCCCGCTGGGCTCAGGTGATCCTTCTGCCTCAGCCTTCCAAGTAGCTGAAACTACAGGCACGTACCACCATGTCCAGCTAATTTTTTGATTCATTGTAGAGATGAGGTCTTGCCAAGTTGCCCAGGCTGGTCTTGAACCTGTGGGCTCTGGCATTCCTCTCATCTCGGCCTCCCAAAGTGCTGGGATTATAGGCGTGAGCCACCACGCCCAGCCTTATAAGGCCCTTAAGGAGTGTTGTTAATGGTGAAATTTCAGGTGGAGGCATTGGGGCCCTTTTCGTCCCCCACTTAGTTGACTGGAGAGGGAAAGTGCTTTACCGTCCCTCCTATCTGGTCTTCCTCCAAATGAATTACTCTGCCCAATGTTCTCTCATCTCCACCTCACCCTGAGTTCTTTGGGGGGAACTTCTCATGTCTCATGAGCTGACCGCTGATTGCCCGCCTGTGTCGGATGGTCAGCAGGTGCTGTTTGGCACCCCCCGAGGACTGGGTTCAGAGGGACTCTCACACAAAGGGTCCGCCATCTGCCGCCCTCCAGGTTGAGAATGTCATCCCTCTCCAGGAAAGACAGGACCTGCTGGAAGTGGAAGGAGAGAAGAAGGCCATGATGAAGCAGATGATGGTGCGGGAGCCACACGTGGGTCTGTGGTGCTGGGGCGGGAGGGGGAGAATCCCCGAGTCCACTCACTGATGAGGCTGGTGGGGGAAGCTGTGGAGGGGAGAGGACAAGATGGGGCAGGACATCTAGCCTGGAGTCTGAGCTCCACCTCTAACTGTCCTCTTCCTCCCCTGAGCGAGTTTGGGCAAGGGATTCCCATTCCGAGCCTCACTTTTCTCATCTCACAAATGGGCGTGAGAATACCTGTGTCTTTGTTGGGAGGACACAGTTCAGCGGTTAGTCTACAGTAAAGCCTTGTGTCCTCACCAGCAGTTATCACTTTTTTTGATCGGAGTCTCACTGTGTTGTCCAGGCTAGAGTGCAGTGGCATGCTCATGGTCATCACAGCCTCGACCTGCTGAGCTCAGGCGATCCTTCCGCCTCAGCCTTCCAAGTAGTTGGAACTACAGGCACACACCACCACTCCCATCTGATTCTTTGATTTATTGTAGAGATGAGGACTTGCCAAGTTGCCCAGACAGGTCTTGAACCCCCCAGACTCAGAGAATCCTCTCTCCTCGGTCTCACAAAGTGCTGGGAATATAGGCTGAGTCACCTCACCTGACCTAATCTTTTGATTTATTACAGAGACGAGGTTTCACCAATTTGCCCAGGCTGGTCTTGAACCCCTGGACTCAGGCAATCCTCTCCCCTCTGCCTCCCAAAGTGCTGGGATTACAGGTGTGAGCCACCACGCCCAACAAGTTATTACTATTTAATGCATTCTTTTTGAGTTGGAATCTCTGTCACGCAGAGTGTAGTGCAGTGGCACACTCATGACCACTGCAGCCTCAACCTGCTGGGCTCAGGTGAGCCTTCCGTCTCAGCCTTCCAAGGTAGCTGGAACCACAGTTGTGCACCACCATACCCAGCTAATTTTTTTGATTTATTGTAGAGACAAGGTCTCGCCAAGTTGCCCAGACTTGTCTTGAATTCCTGGACTCAGGCAATCCTCTTGTCTCAGCCTCCCAAAGTGCTGGGATTACAGGCTTGAGCCACTGTGCCCAGCAATGCATTCTTTTTTCAGAAGTTCCTCCTGGTGGGCCGCATTAGAGGCTTTCCTCATCATTTTGCTAAACACAGTCACTTCTCAGTTATCCACCAGAATGGGTTGGGCAGGGAATCACCACTGAGGTTTCCAAAATTATATTTATCTTTGTGTCCCTTAAAGAGATTTTAAAACAGAGAGAGAAAATCCTTGCCCTTCATGCCTTCACTAAACTAACTTTAGTTGAGCATCTACTGTGTGTAGGTGCTAGATCAAAAGTGAAAAGTAACTAGAAGGGCATTTTATTTTATTTTATTTATTTTTTTGAGTTGGAGTCTCACTCTGTCACCCAGACTGGAGTGCAGTGGCTGCTCCCGGCCACTGCAGCCTCGACCTGCTGGGCTCCGGCGATCCTTCCGCCTCAGCCTTCCAAGTAGCCGGAATTACAGGCAGGCGCTACCACGCCCGGCTGATTTTTTGATTTATTGTAGAGATGAGGTCTTGCTGCCCAGGCAGGTCTTGAACCCGCGGACTCAGGTAATCCACTCACCTCAGTCTCCCAAAGGTGCGGGATTACAGGCTGAGCCACTGAGCCCGGCTAGAAGGGCATTTTAAAGGAATGTAACCAGGCAGCTTTTAAGAGCCACGTGCCATGCTTTTGGGCCAGTTCCGTGGTTTAACTATGCCTCCCACCACAGGGTTGCTGTGGAAACAGTTTTTGCAGAGCTGGGTGTGGGGGGTGCAGCTGGTTCGGAAGGGGGGTGTTTTTGTGGCCGTGAACTGAGGGTTCAGAACGGGTGGGAGTAGTGGGCCAACTCTCTGGCCCCTGGAGGCCAGCAGGGCGTAGGGCTGAAGAGGGTCTGTCCAGGCTCTCCCGCGAGGAGGGGCGGCCTCGGCCTGGGGGCCGCAGCAGCCTCACTCCTTATGGGCTCCTCTGTGGTCCCCTGTCCAGAGGCAGATCCAGGAGGAGCCTCGGGATTTCCTCTCCAGCTCCGTCCGCCGGCAGGCCATGGAGACCCTGACCCAGCTAAGGTGTCCGTGCCCGTTTCTGCCCCCACAGCTCCTGGCCTCTTCCCCCACCCCGGCCTGGACCTGTCTCTCCTAGGGCCTCTCCTCTGTTCCCTCACCCTGCCCCCACGCCTTTTCCCCTCCCTCGCCCCATCCTTGCCGGGGCTGTCGGACCTCCCTCCAACCCGCTTCATCTCGCCCTTCTGTGGGTCAGAATGACAAGGCCTGGGCCAGGTGCCTCCTGCCAGCCCTGTGTCCTCCGCCGCAGAGCCCCTCCCTCGTGTGACACCTCCGTTTTCTGTCTCCTCTCCAGCCACACACAGCCCACCCTGGGTGTGCAGGAGAGGTCGGAACTGGTGATCACGTGCGTGCAGAGTGTGTTCTCCCTGCCCTCGGTGCAGGCCATGCAGGAGAAGGACCAGGCCAAGGCAGAGGCCATCCGGGTGAGGAGGGGCTTCTGGGTGGGTCCCTAGGGCTGTCCGGCATCCTGAGTGTGGATATGGGCCTGCACACACCGATTGGTCAGTTTCGTGACCTTGGGCAATTCACTCACCACTCTAGGCCCAAGTGGGCACCCTAACCCTGACCCTGACCCTGACCCTGACCCTAATTGATAAATAATTGTTGTGTTTTTTTAAAATTCTGTAGAGATGAGGTCTTGCTATGTTGCTCAGGCTGGTCTTGAGCTCCTGGGCTCAAGCCATCTTTCCACCTTAGCCTCCCAAAGTGCTGGGATCACAGGCTGTGCCACCACACCCGGAACATAAATAAATAGCTGGTGAATGAATGAATCATTGGCATAAAGACGCCCCGTATGGAGGGGCTCCTCCACTTCTGTTTGGGCCCTGCCCTGTGAGAGGGATCTGGGCAGAGGTTGACACGGCCAGAGGAGGGGGCCGGGATGGGGAGGGTCAGGGCTGAGGCCTGGGCCATCTCACGGAGGACTGAGGGAATTGGGCCTGGGGACCAGGGAAGCAGGAGCTCACGGGGCTCATGCCGGTATCTTCAAGCCTCTGCAGGTGTTCCCGGGAGGAGGGGCAGGGCTAACCCTCCGGTAGGCTGAGGGGGAGAGCTAGCCACCAGGGGGTTTGGGCTTGGGGTGAACGATTGTTCACCCTTTCATGCAGCAAATACTGAGTACCCACTCCATGCTGAGCTCGTCAGGGGAGCCCTACAGTAGGGGTGAGGGTGGGGCAGGTGGATGTCACCCACGTGTCCTACAAATAAGTGCCAAACGACACCCCTGGGAAATGCCGCAAGCCAGAGGCACTTGGTGCATAACGAGCCTGGCGTGGGGGACATGGCCTAGGTGGGGTCGGAGGTCATGACGGGGAAGCTGAGAGGGGTGGCAGAGGGAAGAGCATTGTAGGCGGAGGGCACAGCCCGTGCAGAGGCCGGTGAACAGGGGCAGCATGGTGACTGCAGGGCTGACAAGGAGATGCTGTGACTGGAGCCCAGAGGGTGGGGCGAGAGTTCTGGGAAGTGAGGCTGGAGCATGGGAGGGGGCCAGATCACATTGCATGGGCAGCATGTGGGCTCCAGGCTCAGAGGTGGTGACCCGAGAGAGGAGCCAGTGGAAGGGCCGGGCATCCCTGCTGGGTGGAAAGAACGGGCAGCCCTTTTGTAGTGCCAGACCTGGCCAGCAGAGGTCAGTGCTGCACAGGAATCAGCCCAGATGGGCGGGAAGGAGGAGGCAGTCGGGGAGTGTGGCTAGCTTGGTGGTTGTGGGGTGACCCTAAGGACCACTGGCTCCAGGGTGTGGACAGACTGAGGAAGCCTGGGCATGGGCAACCCGGGGGGCATACTTGGGCAGCTGGCAGGAGGAGGGGAGGCAAGGGGGAGAGGGTCTTCCTGGAGTAGCTTCAACCGACCGCCCAGCCCTGTGTATGTGTCATGCCTGCACCCATGAGACAAATCCAGTGTAGCCAGTGGATGAAGAGCCCAGGCAGGGGAGAGGTGACTCTGTCCCTTCATGGGCCCGTGGCAGGTTCTCAGCAAATGCTGGGTCTCTGCCGCCTTCCCTTTTAAGGTAGAAGGTGAGGGGATACTACTTACTAGTCAGTTGACAGGGAGACGGTAGCCCGTGGAGAGGAAGTAATCTGTCCAACATCACATACCAAGTCAGTCTCGAGGTGGGATCAGAAAGCAGCTCTCCTGGGTCTAGGTTTCTCCTCCTGCCCTGGCCCACACCAGGGGCTGTTGGGGTCAGCATCAGCTCTGAGGCCCCCTCATGGCTGGGTCCTCCTCCCGTGCACAGATCCTTTACCATCAGACCCTGGATGCCCTGCAAACATTGCTCAAGGCCCTCTTTCTTGAGGACCCCACTCCCGACGGGCTGAAGAGCATCTTGGAGGTGCGGAGGTTGGGGTGGGTGGGAGAGGAAGGGTAGAGGAGAAAGAGAAATGGGCCCCAGAGTAGTGGAGGCTGGAGCTGGGAGCGGTTTGACTTCAGGAGGCCATCTTGTGCCAGCATTCTGCCTCCTTGTCCCCATTCTGGGTCCCGTCCCAGTCTCCTTCCTCTGCCCGCTCTCACTATTCCCCACACTCTCAATTCAGCTGGCCCGCCTGGTTGTAGCTGCCCCCCCAGCTTTGCTCTCTCCATTCTTCTAAAAATTTTCATTCATTTATTTCAATTTTTAGAGACAGGGTCTTTGCTGCCTAGGTTGGCCTTGAACTCCTGGCTTCCAGCGATCCTCCCACCCCAGCCTCCCAAAGTGCTGGGATTACAGGCGTGAGCCAACACGCCTGGCCTGTTCTCTCCATTCTCGTCCCCGTGTCTCTCTTCCATCCTCATCACTCTTCACCTTTCACCTCTCTCCTCATCGTCTCCCTTCCTCTCTCTAGTCTGTCAGTCCTGTTCTCAGTTTCTGAACCCCATCTCTCCCTAAACCCCGAGAAGAGGAGGAGGGCTGCGGCGAGTGGCTTTTAGGCGCTCTCTGGAAGCTGCTTGCTGACTGGTGGAGGCTGGCCCGCCCACCCAGCTGCAGGGGCTGGCATCTGGCCTGCGGCTCTGAGTCTTACCCTCGTTCCCACAGCCCCTAGGGCCCTGGATGAACTCTGGGAAGGCCCACGAGCGAGCACGGGCTGTGAACAGCAACGTCTCTGTGTTGAGCCACACGCTTCTGACTCTGCCTTTCTTTGTGAGTGGTCCCTGGGAGGCGTGGAACCTCTTGGGGGAATGTGCCCCGAAGGAGCTTGTGTGTCTCCTCAGGGATCCCCAGGTGGCCGTTGCCATCCTCAGAGGGCTCTGGTAGGGCTGGGCTGTCCCGCTCTATTCATCATTGACTGTATAGCATTATTGAACCTATAAGACTCAATCCCTAAGGTTATGACACAAACAGATGCCCTTGGGGTTCCCGGCATTGGGGCTTCTGCTGGGGAGGCTCGTCCTTCGCATTGGGGATCCTGATGAGGAGATTGGCCGGGAGGCTCTGGACGGCATCATCATCCTTTACACCATCCTGGAGCTCCAAACAGGTAAGCCCTGTTGGAGCATCTCTGGAGCAAGGCTTCCAGGCAGGGGCTGAGCCTAGGAGCCAGCTAGAGCCTTGGCACCAAGGCACTGGTGGGAGGTAGGGGAACCAGCGTGGGGTCAGATGCGGACTGAGGAAACTGGTGTGAAGCCCAAGTCCCCGCAGAACCAGGGGCAGAGGCTGCCCGCAAACTGATTTTGAGGTAAGCACTCCTTCTTCTATCTGAGCTTTCTTTCATCCTTCCAAACTTAATCGATGACTATCACTTTCATGTTCCCATAACACCATGTCCACTTAGGCATGACACCCCTCACGCCTTGTTTTCTTGTCTGTCTTCCCCACCGGATATAATCCTATGAGGCAGGATAGGGCTGTATCTTGGTCACCTCTGCATTCCAAGGTCTAACCCTGGCACATGGTGGGTGTTCAGTGAATAACTTACTGAACGAAGGAACAGGGAGCAGGTTCTACGTTAGAATCCAGAGTGGCTAAAGCCTGTAGGAGGAAGAACTCTCTTAGATTTGACTTGTGAGAGCCAGTGTTGTGACGTGGGTGGACGCAGGAATCCAGCTGACATGGTCCCTAGAGCTGCACGGCATCAGCTGTCACTTGCCGCCTTCCTTTCTCCATCATCCCCACACTGTCCCAAGCCAGAGGTCCTTGGCATGTGGCGTAAACGCCCCTGGCTCTGGAGGCAGAGGAACCTGGGCACAAGACCCGGCTCTGTCCCTTCTCAGTGATGTGACCTCGGGCAAGCACTTTGCCTGTGTAGACCTAGACGTCCTCGTCTGCAGAAAGGATACACTCGGCTTCTTGAAGGATGGAGCGAGGTCTTTTGCGAGAGTGTATGTCAAGGGACCACGCCTCACAGGCCCTTGTCAGAGTTCCCCTTCTGCCCCTCCTCCGGGGTTGGGGGATCTGCCTGGTACCCCCGTCTTGACCTCTAGCACTGGGGGCGAAGATTTGGTCCCTGGGGGGGATTTCTCCTGCTGTCCAGGAGTCCCCCGTGCCTCCTGAGTGAAGGGTGAAGGTGACACCAGCCATATGAATGATCCACTTTGGGTGTACGAGGAGTATAGACCCAATTAAAGTTGCCAGGCTTAGCAAATAAAAAGTAGGCTACCCAGTGAAATTTGAATTTCAGATAAACAATGAATCATTTTTAGTATAGTTGAGACATACTTTCACTGAAAATGATTTGTTTATCTGAAATTCAAATTTAACGGAGTATCCCGTGTTTCAGTTGGCAACTCTAGGCCACACCCACACTCCTAGATTCTAATCTCAGGGAGTGAAGGGGTTTGTCCAAGCCCCCGACGGCAGGAAGCAGGAAAGGTGGGATTTGAACCTGGGGCTGCCTGACTCCAGACCGTAGGCTCCTTCCCTCTGCAAACAGTACACACACTTGGCCCATGGGATCACTCTGCCTCAAGTGGCTCTTTTTTGTGCCTGTGCCTTGCATGCCTTGTGGGGATCCAAGCGGGACCCAGGCCAGGCCATGGCAGGGGTTCGGAATGTGCACTTGAAATGTGTTTCCTGGCTGGGCGTTGTGGCTCACGCCTATAATCCCAGCACTTTGGGAGGCCGAGGTGAGAGGATTGCCTGAGCCCATGGGTTGGAGACCAGCCTGGGCAACTTGGAGAGACCTCATCTCTACAATTAAAAAAAAAAACAATTAGCTGGACATGGTGGCGTGTGTCTGTAGTTCCAGCTACTTGGAAGACTGAGGCGGAAGAATCACCTGAGCCCTGCAGGTCGAGGATGCGGTGGCTGTGAGTGTACCACTTCACTCCAGCTTGGGCGACAGAGTGAGACTCCAACTCAAAAAAAAAGGAAAAAAGGAAAAGAGTGTTTCCTTCAATAGAAAATATGGAGCCACCATGTGCCAGGCACTCTGCGAGGCTGTGGGAACTCTGCATTGAAGAAGAGATTAATTAAATAATCCTCCCTTAGTGAGAGCACCTTCTTGTTGTCAGGAGACAAATGTTGAACAAAATAAACAACAATACATTTGTCAGATGGTGACAAATACTAACAGAAAATAGGTGGAAGAGGAGGACTGAGACTATCAGGGACGGGGCAGCTTAAAGGAGGTGTTGCCATGCGCCCACCAGAATGGCAAAAATGAAACCGACAAGACAGGGAGTGGTGGGAACTCTCGTGCCCTGCTAGTAGGGGCATCTTTGGTTCCCGTTGCAGAAAACCGTTGGGCAGTATCTCCTGAAGCTGAATGTATGCCTGTCCTACGACCCAGCCTTCCACTCCTAGGTGTATACTTGACAAATGTGAGGATATATTCACCAAAAGACACATACAGTGCATAGAATGTTCACAGCAGCACAATCTTTTTTTTTTTTTTTAAGTTGGAGTCTCACTGTGTTGTCCAGGCTGGAGTGCAGTGGTATGCTCATGGCCACCGCAGTCTTGACCTGCTGGGCTCTGGTGATCCTTCCACCTCAGTCTTCCAAGTAGCTGGAACCATAGGCATGTGCCACCATGCCCAGCTGATTTTTTGATTTATTGTGGAGGCGTCTTTCCATGTTGCTCAGGCTGGTCTCAAACCCCTGAGCTCAGGTAATCCTCTTGCCTCTGCCTCCCAAAGTGCTGGGATTACAGACATAAGCCACCACGTCCGGCATTTTTTTGATTTTTATTTATTGTAGAGATGAGGTCTTGCCAAGTTGCTTAGGCAGGTTTCAAAGTCCTGGGCTCAGGCAATCCTCTCATCTTCGCTTCCCAAAGTGCTAGGATTACAGCGTGAGCCACCATGCCTGGTGGTAACACCACAATTTTTTTTTTTTTTTTGAGTTGCAATCTTACTTTGTTGCCCAGGCCAGAGTGCAGTGGCATGCTCACGGCCCCTGCAGTCTCAACCTGCTGGGTTCAGGCCGTCCTTCTGCCTCAGCCTTCCAAGTAGCTGGAACCACAGGCATGTGCCACCGTGTCTGACTAATTTTTTTGATTTATTGTGGAGATGATGTCTTGCCAAGTTGCCCAGGCTGGTCTTGAACCCCTGGACTCAGGCAACCCTCTTGCCTCTGCCTCTCAAAGTGCCGGGATAACAGGTGTGAGCCACCGTGCTTGGCAGCAGCATAATCTTAACAGCTGTCAACAACCCAAATGACCATCAAAAATAGAACAGATAAATTGTTGTAGCATATTCATACCTTGGAAAATTATACAGGACTGAGAAGGAAGGAAAGAATTAGTGCTACGTGCAACTGTGTGGATGAATGTTATCCACACTATGTCCAGTAAAAGGAGCCATATATAAAAGCATATTATATGTGCCCATTTATATGAGGTTCAAAAGTGAGGAAGTCCTGTCGCGGTGGCTCATACCTGTGATCCCAGTGCTTTGGGAGGCCAAGGTGGGAGGATGGCTTGAGGCTAGGAGTTCAAGACCAGTCTGGGCAACATAGTGAGACCCTGTTACTACAAAAAATTTTAAAAAATTACCCAGGCATGGTAGCTCACACTCTAGCCTGGGTAACAAAATGAGATGCATGCTCTCTCTCGTTCTTTTTTTTTTTTTTTTTAGTTTTTTTTTTTGTTTGAGTTGGAGTCTCACTCTGTTGTCCAGGCTGGGGTGCAGTGGCATGCTCATAGCTACTGCAGTCTTGACCTATGGTTCAGGTGATCCTTCTGCCTCAGACTTCAGAGTACGTGGAACTACAGATGTGCACCACCATGCCTGGCTAAGTTTTTGATTTATTGTAGAGTTGAGGTCTCACCAAGTTGCCCAGGCTGGTCTTGAACTCCTAGACTCAGACAACCTCTTGCTTCCACCTCTCAAAGTGCTGGGTTACAGGTGTGAGCCACCATGCCCCGCCATAACACTTTCTCTAAAAAAAAGAAAGAAAGAAAAAGAAAGAAAGAAAAGCAAGGAAATCTATCTAGGGTTTAGAAATAAGAATAGTGGATACTCAGGGTGAGGGAGGGAAATAGTGACTGAAAGGGGTACACAAGAGGGCCTTCTGGGGTGGCAATAGGCCCTACATTTTTTTTTTAGTTGGCGTCTCTCTCTGCCACCCAGGCTGAAGTGCAGTGGCACAGATGTGGCTCACTGCAGCCCCGACCTGGGCTCAGGTGATCCTTCTGCCTCAGCTTCTCGATTCGCTTGGACTACAAGTACACAACACCACGCTTGGCTAATTTTAAGAAATTTTTAGGTCAGGCGTGGTGGCTCACGCCTATAATCCCAGCACTTTGGAAGGCCGAGTTGAGAGGATTGCCCAAGCCCATGGGTTCGAGACCAGCCTGGGCAACTTGGTAAAACCCCCATCTCTACAATAAATCAAAAAATTAGACAGGTGTGGTGGCGCGTGCCTGTAGTTCCTTCTACTTGGAAGGCTGAGGCGGAAGGATCGCCTGAGGTGGCCAGGAGCATGCCACTGTCCTCCAGCCTGGGTGACAGAGTGAGACTCCTACTAAAAAAAAATTTTTTTTGTAGAGTCGGGGACTCACTCTGTTGCCCGGGCTGTCCTTGAACTCCTGGGCTCAAGCAATACTCCTGCCTCAGCCTCCAGATGTGCTGGTATTACAGGCATGATCTTCCAAGCCCGGCCAATGTTCTGCTTTTTGATGTGGCTGCCGGCTACATGGACATGTTCACCGTGTGTACATTTATCAGGCTGGCTACTTCTGATTTGGCCACTTTCGACATCTATGTTTAACCAAGTGTAAAAACAAAGCGAAACAAGCAAACAAAAAAACAGGGTGGTCAGGCCTTCCTGAAAAGGCTCTTTTCTCGTAGGAGGCAGAGGTGAGAAAGAGATCAACAAGAAGGAGCTGTTTGAGAGCAACAAGCGTGTCCTCGGGCCCTACAACCCCGCCAGCCCATGCCAGAACATCCTGCGCGTGATCGCGGTGACTGCCTGCGCCCGTCAGCCCTCGGCCTTCCAGAGTCAGGCTGGGAGGGAGGAGGGCAGTGCCACCTTGGCCCCGAAAGCCTCTTCCCCAGCCACACGATCCTATCCCAAGTACCCCTCCTCCCGTGGCCTGTGCCACAGCACACGTGCCCTGAGGCATGGCACCTGGTACTGGGCACAGGGACAGTGCCACCCGTGCTTTGCAGCTCCTCCCCAGGGGTTCTGTGCTTAGTGATGAACTGAACGTGCATGGCCCTCCCTGCCGACCTCAGCCAGAGTTCGTGCCTCCGTGCACGGCTCTGGCTCGGGCCGCCCGTCCGTGGCATGATCTCTGCGCCTTCGTTTCAGGAATTTGGAAACTTCCTGGGGCCCCAGCAGGTAAAGGACCTGCTGCTGGCGGCCCTGGAAGGACTGCAGGGTGGCTCGGAGGCCCCGGGGAAGGACACCAGGGAGATGACGCAGCTGGCCTCGGAGGTCACGCTCAGCTCGGTGCTGGAGTGGTATCACCAGAGGGCGCTGGAGGTGGTAAGGCCTCCTCGGGAGTGGGGCTGAGCTGCCCCCCAGGGCCTGCTCATCACTGGGGACAGCCTGTCTGACAGTGGGGAGGGGGAGCCCCTGAGCCCTAGGGCGGGGCAGGGTGGTGTTGGCCAAGTTTAGGTGTTCCCACCTTGCAGGTTTACCTCCTAGCACCCTTGAGAGAACTCAGCTGACCCGGTGGGGGCGGAAGTGGGTTTGGGGGAGGGGAAGGGCAGTGAAGAGAAACTGACCGACTCTGGGGAGGGGCGGGCCTTCTGCTCCGCCCTCCCCTCCCCTTTCTTTCCTGCGCTCCCTCCCTCTTCTCTCCTTTCCGTCCTCCCCCACCCTCTAGCCCATCACCCCCATCCCTCCCTCCCTGCCCTTGCTTCTTTGCTGGCCGCCCGCCAGCTCACGGCTGCCCCGCTGTGCCCCAGATCCCAGAAATCATGCAGGGCATCTACAGGCAGCTGAGCCACATCCAGGAGCCCCGGGCCCGCCAGGTGGCCCTGCTGCCCATCTCCCACCTGGCCAGGTCCTTCATGACCAAGGTCGTCGTGGCCCTGCTCATGTGTCCCCTCCCGCTGGACAGGTACCGAGTGAGGGGGGTTCCCTGCCACTGCACCTCAGAGGGTTGAGGCAGCTCACATCCCAGGAGCCCCCCTTCTGCCCAGAGAAGCCCCCTGCCTGCCCCAAGACTCCTCTTCTGGGACCCCTGGTGCTCAGTGTCCACCGTTAAGCACTTGCTGAGCACTGCTTGGTGTCAGTGCTGTGGGTTAGACATTCTCTCATTCTCATGACAGCCCCATTCTACAGATGAGGAAACTGAGGCTTGGGGAAGTTTCTCACCCTAGATACACACTGAGCAAGGACCTAAACTCAGATCTGACTGACTCCAAGCCCAGAGCTCACAATGATGCCGGAGAAAGGAGGTCCAGCTGGGCGCGGTGGCTCACGCCTGTCATCCCAGCACTTTGGGAGGCTGAGGTGAGAGGATTGCCTGAGTTCCGCGGTTTGAGACCAGCCTGGGCAATTTGATGAGACCTCGTCTCTACAATAAATCAAGAAAAATTAGCCAGACATGGTGGTGCACACCTGTAGTTCCAGCTACTTGGAAAGCTGAGGTGGAAGGATGGCCTGAGCCCAGCAGGTTGAGGCTGCAGTGGCAGTGAGCATGCCACTGCACTCCAGCTTGGGCGACAGAGTGAGACTCCAACTCAGAAAAGAAAAAAAAAGAAAGGAAGTCTGAGTGTTGGACCTGACTCTGTCTCCAGCTGCTGTGTAGACTAGGGTAGCCTGCTTGTCCTCTCTGGGCTTAGTTTTCCCTCACAGAGGCCTCACAAAGGACTCCTGAAATCCCACCCCAGATGGTGGTCTTGACAAAGTGCTGCAGCCGGTTGTGTTGAGAGCCTGCTTGGGCCTGAGCCTGGGGTGCTCCACACTTGGCCTTCAGGGATGGGCAGAGGGGGCTGTGGCGAGCTCGTGGGCAGGACAGTTCAGTCTGGCTGGCCTCAGTTTCTAGCCTAAGAAAGGCTCCCCGCCCTCTCTGAATGGCCAAAACAGGACAATAGGCCATCCATACCTCAGGAAAGTCATTTGGGAGCCAGCCTAACGGAAGCAGTGCAGATGGGTGTGCGCCCGTAAGGATGGCTGGTGCCACTCACAAAAACCAGGAAGATCAGTCGGCATGGCGAGGGCCCCACAGACCCGTGCCCCTCCGGAAGAGTCAAGCCTTTTCTGGCTGCGCTACCTACCACGGGGCTTTATTCTTGGGTCCGCCAGGCAGTCAGGAGCTCTTCTTTTTCTTCTTTTCTCTTTGGGAGTTGGGGTCTCACTTCATCACCCAGGCTGAAGTGCAGTGGCACGCTCAAGGCTACCCCGGCGTCGACCTGCTGGGCTCTGGCGATTCTTTGGCCTCAGCCTTCCAGGTAGCCAAAACTCCAGGTGTGTGCTACCATGCCCTGCAAATTATTTATTTATTTATTTATTTAGTGTAGAGATGAGATCTTGCCAAATTGCCCGGGCTGGTCTCAAACCCATGGGCTCAGGTAATCCACTTGCCTCGGTCTCCCAAAGTGCTGGGATGACAGGCTGAGCCCACTGAGCCTGGCCTTTTTTCTTTTAAAGTTACGCCAGGGTCTTGTTCTGTCGCCCAGGCTGAAGTGTAGTGCTGGTCACAGCTCACTGTATCCCCCAACTCCTAGGCTCAAGCTATCCTCCCGCTTGGCCTCCTGAGTAGGTAGGACTACAGGTATACCACCACGCTAGACTAATTTACTTTTTTGTAGCAACAGGATCTCACTATGTTACCCAGGCTGGTATGGAACTCCTGGGCTCAAGCAGTCCTCCTGCCTCCTTGGCCTCCCAAAGTGCTGGGATTACAGGTGTGAGCCACCGTGCCTTCCTGCAAGAGTCCTTGTAGCGCCCCCACATTCCCCCAGACATAGTGGGCACTAAGGCGAGGCACCCAGGGTGCAGCATTTGAGGAGACCCCCGCAGGTACCAGATCTGCACTTGCATGAGCCGGAGATTGACACACGTTGGAGGTCCACTTGCCTTACCCTAGTCTTGACCCTGAGCCTAGAAGTTGGTCTCTGGAGCCTCCCAGGTGAATGCTCAGGTGTGAGGGAAGGAGACCCAGAGGGCGGTGGGTGCAGGAATTGCTCCAGCTTACACGGCACAGGCCTCCTGGAGACCGGTATTTCTTTACCATCACTCCATGAGTTTTGCTTCCAGGGTTCCCACAGGGACAGGCTCAGTTACAAGAGTCGCTGCATCCTGGGAAGCTCAATGCCACAGCGTACCCCTCGGTTCTAACGGTTAATTTATCATTCCTCCCGGCCCAGATGCAATTTACCAGTCGGGTCATTTTTACCATAAGCAATGTTGCCTAGCAACATGGTTCACCTACTATCTTTATCGGGTTTCCAGGGGAACAGAACTAGGAAGTGAATGGAAGGTTCAAACACTCCGGCAGAAGGGGGAAAGGCTTTTGGTTTTTTTTTGAGTTGGAGCCTCACTCTGTCACCCAGAATAGAGTGCAGTGGCCACTCCCGGCCACCGCAGCCTCGACCTGCTGGGCTCCAGCGATCCTTCCGCCTCAGCCTTCCAAGTAGCCGGAATTACAGGCGCACTCTATCACGCCCGGCTGATTTTTTGATTTATTGTAGAGATGAGGTCTCGCCAAGTTGCCCAGGCGGGTCTCGAACCCGCAGGCTCAGGCAATCCACTCACCTCAGCCTCTCAAAGCGCTGGGATTTCAGGCTGAGCCACCGAGCCCGGCGGGGAAAGGTTTTTGTTAACCCTTTTGCACACTGTGCTTCCAACAGCCCATGACAGGAGTGCCTGCAGGCTGGCGTCCGACCGGGCACAGAAGCTTTTCCCTGCCTGGTATGTTGCCTTCTAAGGGGCAGGTGCTTTCTGATGTTATGTGTCAAGGGCAAGATACTGGACCTACAGGGCTCAACTGCCTGGATTCTTACTCTGTGGCTAGAGGAGCGAGCACAGGCCTTGAAGACATCAGCCGTGGCTGCATCTTGACTCTACAGCTCATTAGCTGTGTGGTCTTGGGTGGGTGATTTCACATCTCTGAGCCTCAATTCCGCATCTGTGAAATGGGAATAGCAACATTCACCTTGAGGGCTATTATGAGAGTTCGGTGATCTTGGATTCTTGAATTCTTGTTCATGCCTGGATCCCCAGAGAGCTGCCTCACGCCTGGTGTCCGGAAGATGCTCAATTGATACTCACTGAAGTAATAAGTTGTCTGTAAACACCTGGCACAATACCCAGGAAACAGGGTTTTCAGTCCTATTAGCCCCCTGCATCTTGGGGAATATTTTCTGGACCATTCCTTGCTGGCGTGTCATGGGTATCGTTTCTTTGGTATCTCACCGTCCCCTTCCTAAAATTTGGAGGCAGAGTGGGTCCCGCCGATCCAGCACCACTAGTCACCCCCGCCCCCGATTTCTCAGCAATGGGGCGGAGATGTGGAGGCAGCTGATTCTGTGCAAGCCCAGCTGTGATGTCCGTGACCTCCTTGATCTGCTCCTGAACAGCCTGAAGAAGAAGCCCGTCACCAACAAGGGCACAGCCTCCACCGTGCCTCTGGCGGTGAGAACCCAGCCGGCCTTCCCATCACTGCCCCAGCCCACCCCGCTCCCTCCTTTCCTCCTGCTGGGCTCAGCACCCCCAGCTTCCGGTGCCCCCTGCTCTGCCAATGACCGGCCGTGTGACCCTGGGCATGTCTGCCTGGCTCTTGCTTGTGATTCACTGGACGATAACAGTGTGGCACCCTTGGCCATGACCCCTCCTGGGACAGTGAGATAGAACAACTTCGAGCCACAGTCTCAGTCCTGGCTCTGTAGATTACTATGTGGTGACCTGGGTAAGTCATTTTATCTCCATGGGTTCAGTTTCTAGCTCTGTGAATACAAATAATACCTGCTTCACACGACAGCGGCGAAGATGAAATGAGATGACACATTCATTCATTCAGGCGACACAACACGCTTACGCGTGTCTCACTGCTGGGCTTGGAGCTTGGCACGGGGAAAGGCTGGGCGGGTGAGGGGGTTTCTCTCTGCCTCTGTCACCCCCATGCTGGTCTGTGCAGCTGGATAATACCCCTGCTCCCCTCCCAGCTTCCTGCTCCTCCAAGCTGTGCCACAGCCCCAAACCTCTGGGAAATGCAGATCTCCTCTTTTCAGCCCGCCGAGGGCTTCCCGTTGCCCTCAAGAGGGACACAGCACCCTCCCTGTGCCCCTGCCAGCCCCCTGCACCTCACAGCCCCCTCGCTTGCTTTGCTCCTGCCTCACTGGTCTCTGTCAGAACTTCATACATCCATGCTGCCTCGTCACAGGGCCTTTGCACATGCTGTTTCTTCCATCCACGATGCTCTCCCCCAAACCAACTTCTACTCATCCCTCAGCTCTCAATGCCTCCGTCGCTGCCCCAGAGAAGCCCTCCCAGATCTCCCTGACACCAACCATTCGGTGCATAACATCCTTTGCTTCACATCCTTTGTCTTGGAAGAGTTTGCCCCTTTTGGGATTTGACAGCCGTGGGGGAGATCCCTCGGTTCATCTGTGGGAGGCCCGAAGGTGGGGCCTGTCCCGCTTTGCTTGCCGTGATGTCCCCAACCTCTAGCTCGCGTCTGGCATCCAGTGGCAGCTCAACATTTGTCTGTTGGGCTGATTTATTTATCCAACAAGTATTTATTTATTATTATTGTTTATAATTTTTGAGTCAGGGTCTCACTCTGTTGCTCAGGCTGGAGTGGAGTAGCATGATTGAGGCTCGGGGCAGCCCCGACCTTCTGGGCTCAGACGATCCTTCCACCTTAGCCTCCCTGGTAGCTGGGACTACAGGCATTTGCCACCACACCCATCTGATTAAAAAAAATTTGTTTTGGAGAGATGGGATCTCACTATGTTGTCCAGGCTGGTCTCGAACTCCTAGGCTCAAGTGATCCTCCAGCCTTGGCCTTCCAAAGTGCTGGGATTATAGGTGTGTGCCACCATGCCCAGCCAATAAATATTTATTGAGCACCAACTACGTGCCAAGCATACCCATAGGTTCTAGGGATTTAGCAACAAGACTTTCTGGTGGAGGGAATCAAATAAAGGATAGTGGATGGAGGAGTGGGTGGTGTCACCCCACTTACAGAGGGGGACACAGCTGCTCAGAGACACTCATGTCTCAGCCCAGGTCACATAATTGGCATGGCGGCACCAGGACTCGAACCCAGATCCCTGGCCTCCAAATCCTGTGCTTTGCCGCCGTGTCTCTGCCTCTGTCTCCCAGCACTGAGCTTTGCGTATAAGGCACCAACACTCATGCCCTCCCTGGCTGGGGCGTTCATCCACTCCGTCAATCATGTGTGAATGTATTCTTCAGTCACTCGTGTGCATCTTGTCCAACAAGCACAGTCATGGAGACAACCCAGACTAATTTTTTTTTTTGAAAGCAGGATTTATTGAGAGAACATAAAAACTCCCACAGTGGGAAGGGACCCGAAGGGGATGCCCAAGGACTAATTTTTATCTTATGGTTTTGACTACCAGCTTGAGCAAGACAGGGCCAGGAGCAGGTTCCTGGGCACATCCCGAAAGACCTATCCCTGCACCGCGGACTGTTCTTTGGACACAGTCTTGAGCTTCGGGCCACTGAACGCACAAGAGCTTTTTGCCTTAGCTCTGCCCCTGCCTCACCATGTCACCATGGGCCACCAATTCCTCTTCTGGCCTTGGTGTTCAGAGCTGTAAAATGGGTAGCAAACCTCCTGCCTTATCTATCTTACCTGTCGGGAAGAGGGAGATTGTGTATGGGGAAGGACTGCCTGAGCTGCAAAGTGCAAATTAACTGTCATTTGTCGCTCCCGGTCAGCCCACGTTAGGTCACTCATTGCCAAGGGAACATGCCAGGGGGGTCTTTCTTCTTTCTTTCTTATTTTTTTGAGTCGAAGTCTCACTCCGTTGTCCAGGCTGGAGTGCAGTGGCATGCTCATGGCTCACCGCAGTCTCAATGTCCTGGGTTCAGGCAATCCTTCCCCCTCAGCCTCCCAAGTAGATGGACTACAGGTGTGTGCCTCCACACCTGGCTATTTATCAGGCTCACTATGTTGCCCAGGCTGGTCTCGAACTCCTGGTCTCAAGTCATCCTCGCTGGGGGTTCTTCCACTTTGCAGTTAAATGCCCTCCTCTTGGTCTAGCTGTGTGGAGTCTTAGTGGCACAGCTCGTGACCGTTTATTTCTAAAGCATTGATACCTCCGTCCTCTCAACCAGTCTCTAACACTCCTGGGGGGCTGGCTAGAGGAGGAGAAGTAACCCCACTCTCCAGAGGATGAATCTGAGGCCCAAAGAAGGACCAGGGAGAGGTGGAGCCAGAATGACCATCAGGTCTCAAGACCCCAGCCCATCACCCCCCACATTGCCTTCTTGCCAGCTAGAGAGGTCTTGGTGGGCCAACTGTGAGGGTGGGCCCAGAGCTGAACTGGCAGGTGGGGAAACTGCCCAAGGTCACCTGGCCGCTTGGGGGCGGAGCTAGGGCTGAAACCAGGCTCCTGCTCAAGGCTGGTGTTTGTTTCTCTTGGCTGTTGGCCATGTGAGGGTCGTTGGGAGGCAACCTGGCTTAACAGCCTTGGGTGAAGGGGTCAGCCTGGTGCCCTCCTCCCATTCCGAGTGCCCGTACTAGGAGAGGAAGAGGAAGTGCACACTAGTGTTGGCATCTGAAAACCCGTTTCAAGTTCCAACCCTGCCCCAAGGGACTGGGTGACCTTGGGCAAGTGGCTTCTCCCCTCTAAGTCTGTCTCCTCACCTGTAAAATGAGATCAAGGTCCTTGACCTCTCAGGGGGTGGGAGGAATCCTTCCACTATGATTCTTCCAGGGTTGCATACGCATTGAAGGCCTGGACCAAGGCTAAAGGGGACCGTTGTCATTGCCCGGGGACAGGACCTGCCTGGAGAGCCAGGGGCCTGGGGTTGCGGGGGCGGGATCTGGGTGCTCCCGGACTGTGCCAGAGAAGAGCAAAGACCCTGGTCTGACCTCCCACAGAAGCAGTCCAGGCCCCAGCGGGGATACTGGACCATGAGCCAGGCCGTCCCACCAACCTCCCCTCTGCCCGCAGGCAGCCAGCGGCCTGTGCGAGCTCCTGTCTGTCAACAGCTGCATGGGCCGCGTGAAGCGCATCTACCCCCAGCTGCTCCTGGCCCTGCTCACTCAAGTCCATTACCACATTGGCCTCATCCTCCCCGGCTGCACGGCTCCTCACAAGGACACCCAGAAGGATGCCCAGCCCCCTGTCTTCATACCTGTGCGGTATGCTCTGCTGTTTCTCTGGACCTTGCTGTCCCTGGCAGTGGGACTAGGGGGACCCCAGGAAGAGCCCTTCCAGAAGCCTCTAGGGCGACCCATCAACGGAAATTAGCTTTGAGACTAGAGGAGAGAACAAACAGCCAGGCCTGGTGGTGTGCACCTGTGGTCCCAGCTACTTGGGAGGCTGAGACGGGAGGATCACTTAAGTCCCGGAAGTCAAGGCTGCGGAGAGCTATGGTGGCACTGCTGCACTCCAGCCTGGGCAATGGAGCAAGACTCCATCTAAAAAAAAATAAGCAACACTCTTTTATTTTTATTTATTTATTTAAAATTAGAAATATAGTTTATTTAGAAAGTAAACGAGAGGGCGAGAGAAAGAGAGACTCACCTCCCCAAGGTAGGGAAGGGGATCAAAGCCAGGAAGCATGGAGATGGGCATGGCTCAGAGAGCACATGGCCACACCAGAGTCTAGTAAGGCAACGGCCTCATTTATTTTTTTATAGAGACAGGGTCTCCCTGTGTTGCCCAGGCTGGTCTCAAACTTCTGGCCTCAAGCAAACCTCATGCCTCGGCCTCCCAAAGTGCTGGGATTACAAATGTGAGCCACCACACCTGGCCAGAAGCACTCTCATTAAAGCCAGTGATTCATTCGACAGCCATTTTTGAGCACCTGTGTGTCAGGCTCTGTGCTTAGTCTGAACCACAGCAAAGAAGCAGTCCTCCCCCAGGAAACTCACCATTTCATTGATCTTCCTCCCTCTCTAGAGATATTATTTTTATTAGGTTTGTATTCAAGGTTCAGTCATTTCTTTTTTGTTGTTTTTGAGTTGGAGTCTCACTCAGTCATCCAGACTGGAGTGCAATGGCCGCTCCTGGTCACAGCAGCCTCGACCTGTTGGGCTCCGGCGATCCTTCTGCCTCAGCCTTCCAAGTAGCTGGAACTACAGGTGCACACTACCACGCCCGGCTATTTTTTTTTTTTATTTATTGTAGAGATGAGGTTTCGCCAAGTTGCCCAGGCGGGTCTCGAACCCGCGGGCTCAGGCAATCCACTCACCTCGGCCTCCCAGAGTGCGGGATTACAGGCTGAGCCACTGAGCCGGCCAAGTCATTTTATTTTTAATTATTTCTCATTTTTATTTTTTTTCTGAGTTGGAGTCTCACTTTGTCGCCCTGGCTGGAGTGCAGTGGCACGCTCCTGACCACCACAGCCTGGACCTGCTGGTCTCCGGCGATCCTTCTGCCTCAGCCTTCCAAGTATCTGGAACTATAGGCATGTGCTACCATGTCCAACTAATTTTTTGATTTATTGTAGAGACGAGGTCTCACCACATTGCCAGGCTGGTCTCAAATCTGCAGGCTCAGGCAAACCTCTCACCTCGGCCTCCCAAAGTGCTGGGATTACAGGCTTGAGCCACTACACCCAAGCCACCTGTTCCCTTTCAGAGGTGGTTTACGCAGGGATAACCACATTTGTTCATTTCTCTACTTTTTTTTTTTTTTTTTTTTTGAGGTAGGATCTCACTCTTTCGCTCAGGTTGGAGTGCAGTGGCATGATCATGGCTCACCACAGCTTCTAACTCCTGGGCTCAGGCAATCCTCCTGCCTAAGCCTCCTGAGTAGCTAGGACTGTAGGCACACACCACTGCACCCAGCTACTTTTTCTTTTTGTTTTTGTAGAGAAGAGGTCACACTGTGTTGCCTAGGCTGGTCTCAAATTCCTGGCCTCAAGCCATCTTCCCACCTCGGCCTCCCAAAGTGCCTAGATTACAGATGTAAACCACCACACCCGGCCCCTTTCTCTATTTTTACAATTATGGCAGCATACCTCACACAGTTGCACATTTTTGCCTTTATTACATGCTATGCCTTAGAAAGCATTCCACATAAAACTGTCTCATTATTATTATTTTGAGTTGGAGTCTCACTCTTGTCACCCAGGCTGGAGTGCAGTGGCATGCTCATAGCCACTGCAGCCTCGACTTGCTGGTTTTAGGCTATACTTCCTCCTCAGCCTTCCAAGTAGCTGGAACTACAGATGTATGCCACCATGCCTGGCTAATTTTTTGATGTATTGTAGAGATGAGGTCTTGTCAAGTTGCCGAGGCTTATCTCAAACCCCTGGGCTCAGACAATCCTATTGCCTTGGCCTCTCAAAGTGCGGGATTACAGGCTTGAGCCACTGCGCCCAGCCATTATTTATGTATTTATTTTTGAGTTGGTGTCTCACTCTGTCATCTAGACTGGAGTGCAGTGCTACACTCATGGCCACCACAGCCTTGACTTGCTGGGCTCAGGAGATCCTTCCGTCTCAGCCTTTCAAGTAGCTGGAACTACAGGCACATGCTACCATGCCCAGCTAATTTTTAAAAATTTATTTATTGTAGAGATGAGGTCTCGCCATGTTGCCCAGGCTGGTCTCAAACCCCTTGGCTCAGGCAATCCTCTTGCCTTGGTCTCCCAAAATGCTGGGATTACAGGCTTGAGCCACTACACCCAGCAAAAAAGGGGCATTTAGAGGCAGAGGGCAAGCAGTATCAGAGCTGAGCTTGAAGTCAGAAGGGCTTGGATTAAAAACCACCTCCATCACTTAGCACTTTGCACTCTGGGTAAACTAATTTTATGGTTTGACGGTTGGCTTCCTTGCCTATGAAATGGATGATGCCTTCCCTAGAGGTGTGTTGTGAGGACCAGATGAGATCCTACCCCAGCCCAATACCACATGTTAATGGTACAGCCCAGTTCCAAAGGCCCTTGTGCTCCCAAGTGCTGCCCTGAGCGTCACCCATGGCTCAGAACACTGATGGGCTCTGGGGAAAACACAGGTGTTCAGGAAGGAGGCATGGAGGAGGAGAAATAGGAAAATGCCAAGGGAAAGGTTCTCGGCTGTGGAGTGATGAAAGGCATGACCTGCTAATGGGGAGGGCGGGCTCAAATAAGGACCATGAGGAAGAGCTTAAGAGATCCTGAGTGTCCACCCTCCCCTCGACATCTCAGAAGCAGCCTGAAAGGCAGAAAAAGCAGAGGCTGACAAGAGCCAGGCCGAAGGGGATCAGAAAAGCCACGAGGTGGTGCCTGGGTCTTGTGGCTGAATGGTGGCCCCCAAGAGATTTGCCTAGAATCTACGATTGTGACCTTATTTGAAAAAAGGGTCTTTGCAGATATAATTAAGGATCTCAAGATGAGATCATCCTGGATTAACTAGGATGGCCCTGAATTCAGTGCCACATGTCCTTATAAGAAGAGGAGAAACAGGCCAGGCATGGTGGCTCACGCCTATAATCCCAGCACTTTGGGAGGCTAAGGTGAGAGGATTGCCTGAGCTCAGGGGTTCGAGATCAGCCTGGGGAACTTGGCGAGATCTCATCTCTACAATAAAAAACAAATTAGACAGGCGTGGTAGCATGTGCCTGTAGTTCCAGCTATTTGGAAGACAGGCGGAAGGATCGCCTGAGCCTAGCAGTTTGAGGCTGTGGTGGCTGTGAACAAACCACTGGACTCCAGCCTGGACAACAGAGACTCCAACTCAGAAAAAAAAAAAAAAAAAAGAAAAGAAGAAGAAGAGGAGAAACAGACATGAACGGGAGAAGGCTAATGGAGACACAGACAGTGAGTGATGCGGCCATAAGCCAAGGAATGCCAGGAGCCACCGGCAGCTGGAGGAGGCAAAGAAGGATCCTGCCCTGGACTCCAGAGGGACACGGTCCTGCTGATGCTTGATTTCTGGTATCTGGCTGCTAGAACTATGAGAGGATACATTTCTGTTGTTTTAAGTCACCCTGTCCGTGATAATTTATTACAGCAGCCACCGGAAATGAATTCACCGGGGTGTGGTGCCAGAACAAACGGTGTCTCCAGACTGCCGTGAGGAGGTGGCATAGCTCCATGAGGCCGACAGTGCACTCAGGTGGACACACTCTCCAAGAGGAGAGGCAGACGCTGGCGATGAACCAACAGCCCTGCCAGTCTGGGTTTGAAGGGGATGGGGTGTCCTGCTAGACTCACACCACAGACATGGCCTGAGAACTTGTGAGGTCTAGTTTCTGTGCCTTCCAGCAGTTGTGGTCTTTATTTTGTTTATTTATTTTTTAAAAGTAGAGAGAGGACTGGGCACGGTGGCTCACGCCTGCAATCCCAGCATTTTTTTGGGAGGTGAAGACGAGAGGATTGCCTGAGTCCAGAGTTTTGAGGCCAGCCTGGGCAACTTGGTGAGACCTCGTCCCTACAACAAATCAAAAAACTAGTCGGGCGTTGTGATGCATGCCAGCGGTTCCAGCTACTTGGAAAGCTGGGGTGGAAGAATCACCTGAGCCCAGCAGATGGAGACTGTGATGGCTGTGAGCGTGCCACTGCGCTCCATCCTGGGTGATAGAGTGAGACTCCTACTCAATAAACAAACAAATAAATAACAGTAGAGACAGGGTCTTGTTATATTGCCTAGGCTGGTCTTGAACTCCTGGTCTCAAGCAATCCTTCTGCCTTGGGCTCCCAAAGTGCTGGGATTACAGGCATGGGTTTTAAGGCAACTTGGTGTTGGATCAGTGGTTCCCTGGTCTCAGTACAGGGACCGAGAATGAGTATTTCAAAGCACTCCTGGGTGCGTTTTGGGAGAAAACCTTCCAGGAGGGTGACACCTGCAGAGTGGGTGTCTGGGACCACAAGAGCTGCTCCATCACTCCCACTCTCTTCCCAAAGACACCGACTCTGTCTTTTCACTTGGCAGTACGGGGGTCGTTTTGGACTGACACAGGTACACCTTTGGGAGCGGGGCGCAGAGGAAGGGAGGGAGGTGGATAGGGTCATTTTTGTTAAAGCACGGAGCCTGATTGAGGAAGTGAGGTCAAACCTTGAGAGGACAGATGACCAATGACGTGGTTCTGCGTCTTGAAGGCTCGGCCTAGATGTACGTCTATCATGGCGTCACAAATGAGGGTTGTGAGGGGCTGGCCAAGTGGCGGTTGTCTGGAGCCTTTGAGTCAAGTCATTCCCTTCTGCGCTCCTGAACTCAATGCTGTCCCCAAGCCGGTGTGTGAGAAGGTAACCAAAAAGATGTCCCTGGGATGCACAGGAGGGGAGGGTGGCCAGGTCACTGGAAGAGCACACACGGGACTCTGCCTGGGCTGAAGGTGTTAATGCTCGAAGTGGAAGAGAATGACCTTTCATCTCCAGATGAAAACCCGTATGTCTCAGCTGAGCCACTCAGTCTGCACTTGGGGTCTGGGGGGGAGGGAAGAGTGTGGACTACACTTGGGACTGCCTCTCTCTCCCTTCCTTGGGTTTGTAACTCTGAGCACTGGAGTCACCGCCAGCAAGGGACTGTCACCAATAGCATACATGTCAAAGAATCAGCACGAAGGTTGAATGACTCTGAAAGCTCTGGCCTCTGAAGAAGCTTTAGTTTTCACACTGGATCAACGTTCATTAGAAAAGCAAAAACATGGAAATGAAGAGGAAATTCCTGTGGGTTACCTGAATTCTTTCTTTTTTTTGAGTGGATGTCTCTCTCTGTGGCTCATGCTGGAGTGTACTGGCACACTCACAGCCACCGCAGCCTCAACCCGCTGGGCTCAGGCGATCCTTCTGCCTCAGCCTTCCAGGTAGCTGGAACCATAGGCATGCGCCACCACGCCTGGCTAATTTTTTAAAAATTTTATTGTAGAGAAAAATAAAATTCTCCCTGATATATATCTCTATCTCACATCTGTGACCATGCAGTAGTGCTGTGCCAGGCATAAAGTAGGATGTCAATAAATGGTGGTGCCCTCTCGGGGCTTCTTGAACTAATTTTGAAAGCTTGAAAAGCACAGAGGAGGCCAGGTGTGGTGGCTCATGCCTATAATCCCAGCACTTTGGGAGGCCGAGGTGAGAGGATTGCCTGAACCCAGGGGTTTGAGACTAGCCTGGGCAATTTGGTGAGACCTCATCTCTATGATAAATCAAGAAAAACTAGCTGGGTGTGGTGGCATGCACCTGTAGTTTTGGCTACTTGGAAGGCTGAGGTGGAAGGATCGCCTGAGCCCAGTAGGTTGAGGCTGCAGTGGCTGTGAGCTTGCCACTGCACTCCATTCTGGGCGACAGAGTGAGACTCCAACTCAAAAAAAGAAAAACACAGAGGAGGCTGGGCACAGTGGCTCACACCTGTAATCCCAGGACTTTGGGAGGCTGGACGGGAGGACTGCTTGAGCTCAGGAGTTTGAGACCAGCCTGGGCACCATAGTGAGACTTAGTAACTACAAAAATAAAAAAATCAGCCAGGTGTGGTGGCTCATGCCTGTAGTCCCAGCTACTTGGAGAGGTGAGGTGGGAGGATTGCCTGGGCTCAGGAGGTCGAGGCTGTGGTGATGCAGTGAGCCTTGATTGTGCTGCTCCATTCCAGAATGGGCAACAGAGTCAGACCCTGACTCAGAAAAAAAAAAAAAAAGAAAGAAAAGAAAAGCACAGAGGCCTGAGCCCCAGCCTGGACAGTCAGTATGTCGTAAAAGCTACCCAGGGGCTTCTGCTGGGCCTCCAGTTTGGGACTTGGCCCAGACAGAAGACTGAGCATCCAAGTGAGCAGAGAGGTGTTTTCTGCAAGCAGCCTGCCCAGTCACGGGCCTGATGGGGCATGGTGGGTGAGAGGCTGGCAGGCCCAGGAGACCTGGAGGCCTGGCTCAGCCTCTTCCTGGATGAGAGAGAGGACAAAAGCACAGTCCTCAGAGGGAGGTGAATTTTGCTTCTTTTTCTTTCTTGTTCTCAAAGCTAATTATTATTTGTGAAAAGCTGCCCTTGAGGATACACTGAATGCCACTATCTAACAGTTGACATGGTGGAGAGAAGCTTGTTGGGCCAGATGACTGCCAAGGGTGGAGAGGCCAGGGGTGAGGGAGGTCTGGCCTGCCAGAAGCCGGGTGGGCATCTCAGCCGCCTTGTCTTGGCAGCTGGATGGTGAGAGTGGTGAAAACCCTGCTGCTGAAGATGGGCTGCTTCTACGAGGTCACCTTCCTGGATGAGCAGGGTGGCTGGGAGCTCATGGAGCAGGCAGAAAATCACCACCGAGGAGTGGCCCTGCTGGCCAGGTGAGGCCTGGGGACCACCTTGGTGCAGGGGTGGGAGAGAGGGGCCCCAGGTTCTTTGGGTCGACTTGAGTGTGCATGCCACTGTGGGCAAGACCTTTGCTCAGTTTGTCATCTTACAACTGGAAGGGTGTTGTCTTCCTCGGCAGCCAGACTGTACAAATGTGAAAGATGGCGTTCACTCGTCAGAGGTCAGCTGTGGTCAGGAGGGTTTCCAGCAATTGCAGAGCGCTCAGATGACTGTCAAAGCACATTTCCTCCCTGCATTACAAATTTAGCTCCCAGGCTAACCCAGAAATGGCGGTGTACCCAAGCAGTTGACGGTGTAGCCTTGGAGACTGGCCTCTACCTGCATCTGAACCCCAGGTTGCTACTTCCCAGCTGTAGGACCAGGGCAAACTGCTCCCTCTATGTCTCCATTCCCCACCCCACAGTTGAGTACTGAAATCATAATAAGGCTTACCCCAAGGGCTGGTCAAGGAGTAAGTAATGGACTTTGAATGTACTCTGGCATATGGGAAGAGCTGCACACAGTTTGGCTTTTACTATCATTACAGTTGCCGTCGGGGCAGGAATTATGAACACATACTATGTTTTAGGCTGGGTGCAGTGGCTCACGTCTGTAATCCCAGCACTCTGGGAGGTCGAGGCAGAAGGATCGCTTGAGGTCAGGAGTTCGAGACCAGTCAACAAAGTGAGACCTCTTCTCCACAAAAATTAAAAAAATAATACATGTCTCGCACAGAAGCATGCCACAGTCTGGAGAGGGACCGTCATGTGCCCCGGTCACACAGGCAGGAAGTGGCGGAGCTGGGCCTGCTGATCCAGACCAAAGTCCCTCCTTTGACCACACACAGTCTCTCACGGGGCCAGCAGGGGACACCTTGATCTCAGAGATGTGACTCTTGCAGGAAAGTCTGCATCTTAGCCCTGCACCCTGAGCACCCCGAAGGGTGTTCTCCCGAGGGGGTCTCAGGATACGGTCACACTTCCTGGGCACTTGCTATGCTCTAGGCACCAAGCAAAGAGCTGTCACATGGATGATCCCACTTCATCCTCACGGTGGCCAATGAAATAGCACTATTATTATCCCGGAGTCACACATGAGGAAACTGAGGCTCAGAGATGTCAAGCGACTTGCCCTCAAGCCACACAGCTAGTGCTGGGGCTGGGATTTGAATTCGGCTCTTTTTTAAAATTTGAGTTGGAGTCTCACTCTGTGGCCCAGGCTGGAGTGCAGTGGCGCACTCACGGTCACCGCAGCCTCAACCTGCTAGGTTAAGACAATCCTTCCACCTCAGCCTTTCAAGTAGCTGGAACTACAGGCAGGAGCCATCATGCCCGGTTAATTTTTTGATTTATTGTAGAACTGGGGTCTTACCAAGTTGCTCAGGCTGGTCTTGAACCCGTGGGCTCGGGCAGTCCTCTCACCTCGGCCTCCCAAAGTGCTGGGATTACAGGCATGAGCCACCGTGCCTGGCCTCAGCTGTCTAATTTCAGACTCCATGCATGACTGCCCATGGTGCTGGGCTCACTGGTTCAGGCAGCACAGCTGTGCCCTGAGACTCAAGTGTGCACCAGAATCAACTGTGGGGCCTGTTGAAACACTGGGTGCTGTGCCCCCTCGTCCCAAGGGGTGGTATACTTCTGACAAGCTCCCAGGTGGTGCTGATACTCTGGATGGGTGGGGAGACGGGAGGACCCTTAGAGCACCACTGGCTTAATGGAATAAGGGAGGCAGCTGGAATGGGAGACCTCGGTTGGGGCTCTTGGCTGGGGCTCCAGCTCTGCTGTTTTCCAGCTCTGAGACCTTGGGCAGTTCGCCCTTGGAGCCTGTGTTTCATCTCTGAAATGGGGATGAAAACGGCAAGCTGCCTCGCGGGGAATGGCGAGGATCGAGTGACGTCATAGCACTCACAGGTCTGGCTGCTGCCCGGCGCTTAGTGCGGGGGCTCTCATGTCCACTCCCTTCTGTCTCTTCCTCCCGACGTGGCTCTGTGCAGTCAGGGGGCTTCAGCTCGTTGCTCTTACTGATTTTTTTGTCCCCACTCTGGGCCTCAGTTTCCCCATCTGTAACATGAAGCAGTTAAGCTAGATGGCCTCTGAGATCCCAGCCAGGTGAGAAATGTGGGAATGCAGGAACCCAGGCGACCCTGGCGTGCCCAGGAGACCTCCCCTACACCCTGTGGGACCCCCGGGGCTGAGAACCTGAGGGGACCGCTCTGCTCCCCGCCCAGGGCCATGGTGCTCTACTCCTGCCACGAGCTGTGTCGCGTCCTCTACCTGCTCATTCCGCTCCTGGAGCGAGGCGACAAGAAGCACAAAATTACGGCCACCGCCTTCTTCGTGGAGGTATGTGCCAAGCCCCCGCCCGGGGTGCACAGCGGGGGCTCCCCAGGCCTCCGTGCCCATCGCTGGTCCTTCCTCCTGTGGCCAGTTTCAAAGCCGTTCCAGAAACAGGGCTTCTCCTGGAAAGACGCCCTCTGGGTCTTGCTCCCTTCTCTCCTCCTCTCTTCACCCTTCCACCCCATCCCACCTTCCCCAGACTCCCGCACTGTCCCAGGCGACCACCAACCTTTGCTGGGCACCTCAGTGTGCCAGGCACCAGGTATGCAAATGTGAGTTTGACCCCATTTGCCCTCAAGGGATTCTTGGCGTGACGGGAGAGACAGAAGCCACCTGAGTTATAACATGAGGGAGGGTGTCACAGAAAAACTTGAGCTATGATGGGGCAGTCCAGCCTCTGGTAGGAGAACAAGACTTGAGGGAGGGAACGCATCAGGGAGGGCTTCCTGGAGGAAGTAAAGTCTAAGCTGAGTGTGTGTTGGGAAAGTGCTAGGAGAGATGAATCAGGGTAAGTTGGTAGGGACAGACCCAGAAGGGAGAGACTCACCAGTAATGATAGTGAATGTTTACTGAGCATGTTCTAAGAGCTTTTCACATATTGATTCATTCATTTATTTATTTTTAAATTTTTTTTGAGTTGGAGTCTCACTCTGTCGCCCAGGCTGGAGGGCAGTGGCACGCTCACAGCCACTGCAGCCTCGACCTGCTGGGCTCGGGTGATCCTTCCGCCTCAGCCTTCCAAGTAGCTGGAACTATGGGCACGCACCACCATGCCTGGCTAATTTTTGTATTTATTGTAGCGAAGAGGTCTCGCCAAGTTGCCCAGGCTGTTCTCGAACCCGTGGGATCAGGCAATTCCTTCACCTTGGCCTCCCAAAATGCTGGGATTGTAGGCTTGAGCCACTGTGCCCAGCCTTGTCTTGTTTTTTAAAAAATTTTTTTTAAAATTCCCTTTTTTAAGACTGAGTAATATTCCATTGTATATACATAGCACATTTTGTTTATCCAGTCATCTGTTGATTGACAGTGTAAATCTCTTCACCACAGTTGCTTGGCTTTTGGGAACTGATGATTGTCATACGGTGGCGTCTGGGCTATTACCAGGGTCTGCACAGTGGGTCTCAGAGGCAGGAGGCTCACTGTCTGTTTGGACAGATAAAGTTGAGGAAGGCTTCCTGGAGGAGGTGACATTTGGGCTGAGTCTCAATAGGTGAATAAAGTAAGCCAGATGGACAGGAGGCAGCCTGGGCATTCTAGGCACTTCCTGCATTTTTTCTGCCTGACCTGTGAGTCTGGGGAGAAGGGACCATGTCATGTTTGCATTGCACCCCCAGGCTCCGAGAGGGAGACCCCGAGAAGTGTAGGTGGGTGGGTGAGCGAGTACCTGAAGGAACACTGCCGGGTTCTGCAGGCCCCAGCGGAGCGTGTCACCTCCAGGGCGGACACACCTGGTCTTGGGGTTAGCCTCAGCTCTGCCCAGGCCCAATTCCAATTCCTTGATCACAGTGAGGGAAAAAGAAAGGGCCACTCTGTGCCAAACACTGTGCTGACCGCTTTCGTTCGTGATCTCACTGGTCTCTGCAAAGAAGGGAAGGATGTGCTCACGTTTAGGTGAGTGGAGGGGGATTTTTCAAGGTCACGTAGCTCAGGGAGCCCAGAGAGAGTCAGACCAGGTCTGCCCCATGTGGCCCTGTGTCCTGGGAGCCTCCTGGGACAGGCACCTTTCTCTCAGTCTGTAAGTGGTTGTCTCATGGGTCCTTGGGGACAGAAGAGGAAGGTTGGACCTTATTAGACATCAGAGGACATTCCTGTGTCTTCCACAAGGGCAGGGACTCTAGGCTTAACTTGTCCCCAGCATGCCCTAGAGCTCTTAGCAGTGGCCCTTCCCTCCTGGCAAAGGTCTTCCCCCAGGTCCCGTCTTCCCCCAGGTCCCCTCTTCCCCCGTCTCCCCAGAAGAGGTGCCCGCTCTGGCCGGTCCCCCTACCACATGCGCTGTGGTGCTTTGCTATCGCCCTGATGGCCCTCCCCAGACCCTGGGACCTTCTATGTTGTGGTGGTGAGTGTGCTTGCTTCTGGGCAGGTGACCTCCTCAAGGGAGCTGTGTGACCCTGGGCAAGTCACCTATCCTGTCTGTGCCTCAGTTGCCACGCCTGTAATATGGGGATAATGAATTGCCCACCCCCTAGAGTCCCCATGAGTTCACGGAAGGCACTTAGAACAGTGTCTGGCACACAGGAAGTGCTCTCTGGGCACCAGTTCTAATGCTCTTATGATGCTCATTCCTCTTTTTTTTTTTAGTTTTAAAGATGTGGGGTACAATTCAGGATGAGATGTGCAAGTGTTCATTATGCAGGTACCCTTGTTGATCAGGTGTGCCCCCCCTCCCCCGGCAGATTCCCACTACTGCCAATCCCGTCCCCGCCCTCCTCTGGCAGTTTCCCACTACTGCCAATCCTTTTCTTACGGCGTTACGATAATTGTTCAAGGTCTGCTAATAAGTGAGAACGTGTGGTACTCAGTTCTTTGTTTCTGTGGTAGGTCAACTTGGTATGATAGATTCTAAGTCCATCCAGATTGCTGTGCAGTTCACGATTTGGCCTCCTTTATGGCTGCGTAATATTCCATTGTGTATATGTACCACATTTTTGTTATCCAGTCCTCTTTCGATGGACAGCCGTTCCTCTTTTCTGTGTCTCCAGGGCCGAGCCCAGAGCCTGGTGCAGAGCAGGCCTGGATGAGGGCGGCTGGGGGTTGGAGGCCCTCCTGTCCTGCCTCCTCCCCTGGTGAGCCAGCCCACCCCTCCTCCAGCTCTGCTCCTCCCATCATCTGGACACACGACTGGACGTTTGCAGGAGATGTTAGGCAAGGCGTGGGAGGAGACGTGGGTGAGGGCCACGAGGCAGGACTGAAGACCTGTCACAGCTGCGGGTGGGAGGCTGTGAGGGAGAGGAAGGTGATGAGGATGATGCTGGATTTGGGGCTTGGACAAAGGGCGCGATGGGGTGCTGACCCTTTGACGGGGAGCAGCGCCCGTTAGGAAACGGGAAAGATGCCTGTTTCCTGTTGGGCCTGCTCGTGTGTGCTATGCACATTCCAGAGCTTAGGCTTGGGAACAGGCACCCAGGGAGGAACAGCTCAGGCTTAGTCCTCAGGGAAGCCCTGGTGGGACGGGGAGGCAGATGGACGCACTCCAGCCTTCCAGGTGGGTATTTGGGCTCCCAGGGGCCCAGGGGAGGAGGCACTTTGATGCGGCCTGGGGCTGTGTGAAGCACAGCTTCAAGGAACCAAGATTTGGGTGGAGCCCTGCAGGGCGAATGGGGGTCAAGGTGGAGATGGGTGTCCCCACCAAAGGGCACAGAGGGATACGACGACCTGGGTAGTTCAGGGAACCAGGGCAGCTTGGTGGGAAGCCAAGGCTAGTGGTGAGTGTGGGCTAGAGGGTGGGCGCTGGTGGGAATGAGGCCACAGAGGCGAGCAGGGAAACGTAGAGGGGAGTCATTGTCCGAGCCAGACAATGACTTGCTTAGCATGGCCTTGAGGTACTGATAGACATCAGATAGAGAATCCAGCAAACTGTTGGTTTCCCAAGTCCGAAACTCTGGGCAGAAGCAAAGCCTGGGTATCTACGTGGTCGTCCAATGCCTGGGAGACCACAGGGCTGCCCTCCCGTAGACCCGGGGGGTCATTTCCATCTGCTTCCCAGCTCCTCCAGATGGAGCAGGTGCGCCGGATCCCCGAGGAGTACTCTCTGGGGCGGATGGTGGAAGGTCTGAGCCACCATGACCCCGTCATGAAGGTGATATCCATCCGAGGCCTAGTCATCCTGGCCCGCAGGACTGAGAAGGTGAGTGGAGGGGAGGAGCAGCCTTGCCCAGCCAGGCCCCAGGCTAGAGAGGACAGAGCTTGACTGTCACAGTCTCTCAGATGCTGGCAGCTGGACTCAGAGACTATTTCTGTCCCAGTCCCAATTGTCTCATCTGTGAGATGGGTATGCTTTAATCATCTCTATATATTTTGTTCTTCTTGAATAGTTTCTAATCTAGGTTTTTCACGATGACTCAAAAACAACGTGTATAGGAGGGCAGCAAGTGGCAGCAGTTATTCCAGTTTTATGAATCAGGAAACTGAGGCCCAGATTGTTGGTGCATCTTTAGCATGTTATCCTGATTTTTTTTTTTGAGTGGAGTCTTACTCCGTCCTCCAGGCTGGAGTGCAGTGGTACAATCACAGCCATTCCAGTGTTGACCATCCACCTCAACCTTCCAAGTAGCCAGAGCTACAGGCACGCACTACCATGCCCGGCAAAAATTTTTTTCCTTATTGTATAGACGAGATCTTGCCAAGTTGCCCGGGCTCGTCTCAAATCCGTGTACTCAGGCAATCCACTTGCCTCGGCCTCCCAAAGTGCTGGGATTATAGGCTGAGCCACTGAACCCAGCCCATCCTTAGCATTTTAAAAAGGGCTTTATTTTTCTCTACCCGGCAGCCCAGGGGAAGGGGACCTTGTTCCAATGGGTTCATGTCTTTTTAAAATTGTGTTTTTGTTTTTTTCTTAAGTGGCAGCTCATGGGATGAAGGGACAGGACTTGGCCTCAGAAAGCTAACAACTCAGGGTGTCATCTACCCAGAGCCAAGAAAGGGAGTAGACAACAAAGGGCTGGGGGCTCCAGGCCAGGAAGGGGTCAGCAAGGCCAAAGGGGGTGTCGAGGAGCAGCAAGAGTGTGGGTGAGGCATTCCAGGCAGGTGGGAGTCTGGACCGAGTTTGTTTCTGTGATCGGAGGCTGGGTCTCTCCCTACTTGCTGGCCAGGTAGGAGCCCCATTCCAAATGCTCTCGCCCTGCAGGCTGCCAAGGTGCGAGCCCTCTTGCCCTCCATGGTGAAGAGTCTGAAGGACATGGACGGAATGCTGGTGGTGGAGGCGGTCCACAACCTCAAGACCATCTTCGAGGGGCAGGGCCGGAAGCTGACAGACAGCTCCGTCTGTGTGGAGATGCTAGAGGTCCTGCAGCCACACTTCAGTGATGTATGGAGTCCCATGGAGTGTGGGCGGGAGGGTTGGAGAGAGTGGACTTTTATTGCCGGAGGGCTGCCGATCCCCGCTCTGGGACCTGGGCTGGGTCCAGTCAGCCCAGAGAAAGGAATACCTTGCTCCAGCTGATCCATGTATTTTTTTTTTTTTGAGTTGGCGTCTCACTGTGTTGCTCAGACTGGAGTGCAGTGGCATGCTCACGGCCACTGCAGTCTCGACCTGCTGGGTTCAGGTGATCCTTCTGCCTTAGCCTTCCAAGTAGCCGGAACTACAGGCGCGCTCCACCACGCCAGTCCAATTTTTTGATTTATTGTAAAGATGAGGTCTCACCCAGGCTGGTTTCGAACCCCTGGGGGTCAGGCAATCCTCTTGCCTCAGCCTCCCAAAGTGCTGGGATTATAGGCGTGAGCCACTGCGCCTGACCTTGGTTCGTGTTGTTTTGTAATTGGTTTGCCCAGGATCCTTATTCGGCCAGAGGGAGCTTTTCCTTTGTAATCAAGTTTCCCAGAGAGGTCATCTTATTGTGACAGATCCACATAGAGGGGGTGTTTTTTTTGTTTTTGTTTTTTTCTGGTTCCAGCACAGGGGTACATTTCTCTACCAGGCACTGAGGCACCCCTTTTAGTGAGTGGGCGCCCTGGCTGGGAAGAGTTAGAGACCCAGGCTTGAATGAGGGGAACACTGGCCTGGACAGCCCCTCCTGGAGGAGGGAGCCCCCTCTGAGTCTCTGGTCTTCCCCAGTCCCAAGAGGATGTATGTGCCTCCTGCATCCACCTGTATGGGAAGATGGTGAAGAAGCTTCGACCACCACGCACCCCAGCAGTGGAGGAGCAGCTGATCCGCACCTTGGTGCCCCTGCTGCTGGTCATGCAGGAAGGCAACGCCAACGTGGGCCAGGTAAGCGGTGTGGACCCCTTTACAGAAACCAAGGCAGAATTGCAAACGATCCCTGGGGGCAGTTATATGTGTCCAGTCACATCTGTTTCCCAAAGGCACCCGTGTCAGGGTTCCTCCTCAAGATGGCCACCTTCACCTATATGTTTTCAAATAGGAGCTGCTTTTTCGAAATCCAGTTTTCTTTCTTTCTTTCAATCTATCTACTATCTATCTATCTATCTATCACTTGTTTTGAGTCAGAGTCTCACTCTGTCACCCAGGCTGGAGTGCAGTGTCACGCTCATGGCCACTGCAGCCTCAGTCTGCTGGGTTCAGGCAATCCTTCCTCCTCAGCCTTCCAAGTAGTTGGAACTGCAGGTGTGTGTCACCATACCCAGCTAGATTTTGTTTTGTTTATTGTAGAGACGAAGTCTTACCAAGTTGCCCAGGCTTGTCTCAAACCTGTGGGCTCAGGTAATCCTCTCGCTTCTGCTCCCCAAAGTGCTGGGATTACAGGTGGCAGCCACTGTGCCTGATCAAAATCCAGTTTTCACACCATCTTTTTCTGGAACATGTTCTGGCTGCCCACAGCCCTGATATTCTCTTCCCATGGGTCCCCAGAAATGCGTGAAGACCCTGTTCCGCTGTTCTTGCTTCATGGCTTGGGAGCTGCCGAGAAAAGCCTACAGCCAGAAGCCTTGGGACAACCGGCAGAAGAGGGTAGCCAAAATCTGCAAGTTCCTGGTGAGTGCTCCCAGAGATGACAGTGGTTCCTTTATGGGTCTTTACATCCCAGGGTCCATCTGTCATTGGATGCCAGCCATTGTGGGAAGGGACATGACCTTGGGCTGGGCAGTTCTCTTCAGCCCAGACAATCCCCAGAGCCTGGGGGAATACATCTTCTCCCTCCGAAGGGACATCCGGGCAGGGTATACCACATTCCCCAATCTAACATTAACATGCCCAGTCACAGGTTGTCACGGGCCTGAGAAGAGGGCTTGGCGCCACCATTGTCAGTGATGCCCAGGGCCTCTGCCATCAAGAATGTTGTTGCCAGCACTTTACAGAGGGAGAGCGGTCTGGTGGAAGTGTGTGGCCAGGGTCACCAGGCACACACTGACCTGCTGGGCTCAGGCAATCCGTCTGCCTCAGGCTTCCAAGTAGCTGGAACTACAGGCAGGTGCCACCATGTCCAGCTACTTTTTTGGTGTATTATAGAGACGAGGTCTCGCCAAGTTGCCCAGGCTGGCCTCCAACTCCGGGGCTCAGGCAATCCCAAAGTGCTGGGATAACAGGGAGCCCCATGTCCAGCTGTCTTCCTAACTTCCAATGCATGAGTGAGCCCTATTTATTTTCTTTCTGGCTTTTAAGATCCCCTAATTCTTCCTACGTCTCTACAACTTGAATCCTTCACCCTGGTTAGACTAGTCTTCTTCCCTGGCATGTCCCTGCATGCCATGTTCGTTCCCATCTCTGGCTGGGCCTGCCTTTTGGACCGTTCCCTCTGGCTGCAGCAGGGGGATGGCTTGGAAAAGGAGACACCCAAGGCTGGGGGACCACAAAGTGACTGCTGCAGTCAGCTGAGAGGGGATGAGGCCTGGCCTCTGGGGGACTCAGGCAGAGGGGTAGGTTGTAGATATGTTTAGGAGGCAGGGGCCAGGGAACCATTCTGAGCTTCAAGAGGCATGGGCGGGTCATTCGTTCCACCATGGGCCCAGCACTTTGGGGGATTCTCTTTGTCCCAGGTGAACACCCACCGAGACAGCGCCCTCACATTCCTCAGCCAGAGCCTGGAGTACACCAAGCACACACGGGCCTCCCTCCGGAAGTCCTCAGTCATGTTCATAGGTAACCTGCCCTGGCATAGCTAGTCCTGCTGCCTGGGCCCTGCCTGCTCTCCAATTTGTTTCCTCCTGCCAGCACGGAAGTGGATCCCTCCCCTTGGGTGCAAGCCTTGGCTGGCAGACAACCATAGTGCAAATTAGAATGACTTTCCCTCCACTAAGATCGTGGCTTAGGAAGTGGGTCACAACCTGGATTCTGCCTGAGGTCTCCACGCAGGTCACAACCTCAGCAACTGTATATGGCAGGACTCCTGCTTCTCCCTGGAGTACCACATGGGTCCCAGCCTTGTAAGAGCCTGGGCAGATACCCATGGACTGTGGTGGGAGGGCCCAAACAACCAGTGGAAAGGGTTGAGCAGAATCTCACCTCCATGGTCCCCTTTCTGTGTGACTCAGACTGGGTCATTTACTCCCACTGAGTCTCGGTTTCCTCACCTGTAAGATAGAGCTCACCTCCTCTTTCACAGAGTGGATGAGAACCCTTTTAAAAAGGTGAGGGATGACATATCAAGGTGCTCAATGCTAATCACCTTCGTTCTTCTATTTCCCACAATCTCAACCTCTGCCTTGTGGGGAAAAACAACAACAACAACAACAGTAGCAACAACAAACACCAAGTATCTGATTCCTTTGCCCAGCGCCCCTCACAACACACACACACACACACACACACACACACGCAAGATCTTTCTGATGGCATGCATGGTGTGTCCTCCCAGCTACTTACTCCTGCCCCCAAATAACCACATACCCTTCACCAAGGACCAGGAGACCTCGTCTCAAAGAGACTTGGAGGTGGGGCGTGGTGGCACATGCCTGTAGTCCCAGCTACTTGAGAGGCTGAGGCAGGAGGATCGTTGGAGCCAAGAAGGCTTAGGTTGGAGTGAGCCCACTGCATCTAGCCTGGGTGATAGAGTGAGACCCTATATCTTTCTTTTTTGTTTGTTTTACATTTATTTTTATTTTATTTTTAAAATTTTAGATTCAGGGGGTACACATGCCTATTTATTACATGGACATAATGTGTGGTGGTGGGGATTGAGTCTCAGGTGGCCCATTCCCCAGATAGCATTGTACCCCGTAGGTAGTTTCTGAACCCTAAATCGTCCCCATCACCACTTATTAGGTTTCCCAGTGTCTACTGTTTCCATCTTTGTGACCGTTTGGCTGCCACTTATGAGTGAGAACATGCGATGTTAGGTTTTCTGTTTCTATCTTTTTTTTTTTGAGTCAGAGTCTCACTCTGTCACCCGAGCTGGAGTGCAGTGGCATGTCCATGGCTACTGCAGCTGTAACCTGCTGGGCTTAGGTGATCCTTCTGCCTCAGGATTCCAAGTAGCTGGAACCACAGGCGTGTACCACCATGCCCAGCTAATTTTTTGATTTATTGTAGAGACGAGGTCTCACCAAGTTGCCCAGGCTGGTCTTGAACCTGTGGGCTCAGGCAATCCTCTCATCTCGGCCTCCCAAAGTGCTGGGATTATAGGCATGAGCTACCTCACCCGGCTGAGACCCTATTTAAAAAAAGAGAAAGAGAGAGAGAGAGAGACTTGGAAATGATGCCATTTGTTGTAAAGTGACACTTCTTTGAGTACCTTGCCCCGATTCATTTGCTGTTTTCATCCACCCAGTCATCCATCCATCCACGCATTGTTTTATTTATTTATTATTATTTTTGAGTTGGAGTCTCACTCTGTCGCCCAGACTGGAGTGCAGTGGCTGC